CTCTAATTTTAGTACAATGTTAATAGTTTTAAGGCCAAGTTTAAAAACCTCTTTTAAGAAGATTTGTAATTAAATACTAAGAACCCTTTTAAAGAAACATGAGTTAAAATAAAGTACAGTCGATAACAACTATAAATACAAGATCAGAAAGAGGCCTATAGGGGGACTCCAGGTGTCACTGATAGAATCAGACTGACCCTATCAGTAACATCTGGAGTCCCTGTATCATTTGCTGTTTAGGCTGGGTATATTCAAATAATAAATAGAACGATAGATAGAAGAACTCAACTGGTTCCCATAGCAAAGTCTGCTGGGAAATGGAGAAGCATTGTAACTATTTTTTAAGAGTTAATCCAAAATATTAACTTTGGGCCATCCTGGACAAATGAAATAATTCAAATTAATATTCATCGAGTATATACAAAACACAGATATTATGTCTTCAAGCTGAAGCAAGGCATTTAGATTTTTTTGCAGCTAGTTGGCAACTTAGGCTCACCTTTGGTTTGACTCAGAACGGTGGAGCGCATGTTGGATTTTAAAGCTAGATTTATTATTTCTGTTTTTTTCTTTTCCAAGGTCTCTTCTGCACTTTTTTTTTTTAAAGATATGCTTTTAATAGCTGCACTATATTTAGCAACACACGACCATTTATTTAGGACTGTTCAGTGTAATTATGTCAATTCTTAGTTATTCTTATTAAGGAAATTCATAGTGAATTTCATTTAGATTAAAAGGAACCATCTGTGCATCGTGAGGGATTCTAGAGGAAATTAATATTTTTTGCAATCTGCACGACCAAACATGACTACATATATCATCCCTAAACAATCTACTTGTCAGCATTTCAAAGAATAAACTTCTTTGTCGACATCAAACGAATAACTGGAGGACATGAAACCATGATATAAAGATCTCTTCATTTAGATGAAAGTGGGCAGCAGAAAGACGAAAAACTAAAAATTTTTGATTTGTTAGACGCATGCAATTGGCTGGTCATAAAAAAAAAATGAACGGTCACCAACAATCTTTCGTAAGCAGTCAATCGGTATTATTAGCCGCTAAACATCCGGGAAAATGGAAACCTCAATCCCATTGAACGTCATGGCAGACATTTGACATGTTATACAGAACATTAATAAATAATAAAAAGCTTAGATCTTGGTTTACGTATTCTAAAACCAAGAACAAGAATACAATTTGTTGTACACCCTGCAAGATTTATCAGAAACATGGTGCTGCCGTTACACCATACAACAAGATTCATTAATTGGAAAAATGTTTTAGCAAGTTTAACTGAGCGCGAAGCGTTTGGAATCCACAGAGGTGCATGATTAAGTGGAAAATTCGAGTACAACACATGAAATCGTGCCAAGGCATCAATCACGACACTGAGCGACTCATTCATACAGAGAAAGAAAAATGGAGAAAAATTCTATTTAGTCATGGATGCGGTACTATATCTTTCAACATTCTGTCGTTGTTTTCTTGGGTCTGATGAAATCCCAAGTAGCCTGTTCACAAAGTGTCCTCGACGTAGCGAAGGAAATTTTCTGAAGTTAATCTCTCCGCTTGCCAAACATAACTCAACTCTTAATTACAAGCACCTAACAAGTCAAAGCACCTAACAAAGGGAAAGGAATCATATTTACCCCATATGTGTCTCATACAGAAAAAATTGCGCCAGGTGACTCAATACGTAAAAACGTAGGGTGATTGTGTGAGATAAAAGAAAATTTAATTGATTTTATAGAAGTTGGTGGAAAGATAGGAGAATGTATTTCTAAACGCATTGTAGAAAATTAGTGTCTTAATTGACACTTGATGGTTTGATATTGGACAATATCGGTGTCAGTCTTATGACAATGGTTCTGATATGGCTGGCATTTCTAAAACAGTACAAGCTAGAATTACAGAAATGAATAAGCTGGATGAATTTGTGCCATGTTTGGCTCACTTCTCGTATTTTGTCAGTATGCATTCTGCTTCTTTGTGCCCAGAAGCAGTTAATCTGTTTGGAATTACTCAGAAAATACTTCGCTTTTTTGTTGGATGCACTACTCGACAGTATATTAATAAAAAATGTACAAAATACAACTTAAAAGGAAGCAGCCAGATGAGATGGTCAGAAAAATATGTGGCTGTGAAAATCCTTCTAATGAATTTACCGGAAATATTCAAATATTAAAAAAAAATTAAAGATATTTCTCTTGATGCAGAATCAAAGCATGAGGTAGGACACCTGTTACATGCTGTGAAAAATTTGAATTTACTCAACCTGAATATTTGAGCAAATATTTTTCCAGAATTCAATCGAGTAAATATAGAAATTCAAAAGGAATTCCTCTTCCGCGTTCTGTGTAGTTAACGAAAGAACTGACCAAAACTGAGGGATTATAAAAGACTAGAGAAAAATCCTATGGAATATTGGATACAAGAGTCTAAAACAGTAGCCGAAAAAATTGCAGTTGAGTCTATTCTGACAAATAAAGAATCAAAGCACAAAAAGCAATCTGATGAACTGTTTAAGGACGAATCTTGGACACTTCAACCTATTCAGATCAAAGTTTCAGAAAATAATATATATATAATATATTAAAAAATATCTACAATCATCGGTGAGCAAGAGCGTTTATTAAGTCTCGCGATTCTGACAGCCGAAAATCGAACCGCAGATCAAATTATGACAATTCCATGCACTTATTTGCTGAACAAAAGGCTTACAGTGTAAAATTTTAATTTTCGTTACTAATTCTGTGATATTTTAATAAGCGTTAAGGCAGGTAAGAACTTAAAATTACTTATGCATAGGAAGTAGAAAAACAAGACAGGAAACGGAATACTCTCAGTAATAGCCCATATTCTGTTATAGTTCAATACTTCCTTTCGGCAATAGCCCATATTTTGTATGCAATGGCCCGATTAGTGGCTAAGCAATAAAAGCCGCTGAGCACTAGTAGTTCTGTCCGAGAGTCAAGTATATGTGGCTATATGAGCATTTCCGTGATTTTCCCCGTGTGTAACATACATATGAGCTAGTTTCCATTACAAATTTTTTTCGCCGGTGCATTCCCCCTTTCCCATGCAGTGCCTAATGGTGAAAAACATAGTGAATAATCAGACAAATGTCCTCAGCAGTGGCCGAGTGATTAAGACTGAATACTGGTAGTTCTGGCAACTGAATACTGGTAGAACACAGGCAAGGTCGAACTGGTAGTTCGACCTTGCCTGTGTTCAAACTCAGGCGAACGGGTTGGCTACATGGTTTGTTTTCGTGGATTTCCTCATGTGTAACGTGAATACGAGCCAGTTTCCTTTAAAACGTTCCTCCACGAAAGCACCTTTCCTCTAAGCAGATACCAGTCAGTCTCCTTAAATTTTTTTTCCACAAGGCATTCCTCCCTTCCCATGCAGTGCCTAATGGCGAAACACATATTAAATAATCAAACAAATGTCCTGAGCAGTGGCCAGGTGATTAAGACCACGGAATACTGGTAGTTTGACCTTGCCTGGTTTCAAACCCAAAAGAACAGGCTGGCTGCATGGTTTCTCTTCATGGATTTCCTCATGTGTAATGTGAATACGAGCCAGTTTCCTTTAAAAAGTTCCTCCACGGAAGCACCTCTCCTCTAAGCAGGTAGCCCTTCTGTCTTTGGCCATATTCATATAATCTAACCCAAAATTTTAATTTACATAATGCAAGGTAGGTGCGTTGTGAAAAGCTAGGGGTGGAAACGAATGGTGGAGGCGAGGCTGATTAGAGGCTCAGATTAGAGTTAGGATTAGGCATGAATCCAAAACTAAGCTCACCAGAAAGGCGATTCTCCTAGAGAGGGGATGAATTTCTAATTATGTAACTTCGTTACATTTTTTTCCTTTATAGCAAAAAAAGGGGGGCACGTTAAGAATTTAGTATAAAACGGAGCTTGGATTTTTACCTCAAACCGTAACTATTTCTGTATTTATTAAAGAAATTAAAACTTTTTAGAGAAACTTAATGATGATAGGTTAGGGCGGCAGTTTTAGCTTATGCCCCACATCAGAAAAATCAAAGATCCGGCACTGCATCAGGCCTTTCAGGTTTGTTCTAATCATCAGGTCTGTCTCTAAGTAAGCAGCAGTGGTGACAACATGCTGTCTTTTGTAATGAGTCATGCTGATTATGATCTTGCTTCTCATTTTAATCTGTGTCGCTTAACATAAAATCTACCAGCTATTTACTAAACCTCTGGACTGAGCAAATATGGGGCAAAATGAAACATTTAAATATATATATATATATGTCCAGCTATTGCAAGTGTAAAATATTTAATGCTACTTGATTCATTTTATAAAGTTTATTTTATTCTCAAACTTATTAATAATTTTGTTAATTAATTCATGTTTAATAAAAATTCATCCTACTTACGGATCTTTTTAGGATGGTACTACTAAAGTGAAATTCAGGCATAGACAATATTTTTAATTGAATTTATTCAGTTCCCATTTGCTCATAGGTCCTTAATTTTTTTCGTTAATGCTCCTTAAAAGAACTTTATTTCCGTGTGCAGAAATATGTATGAACCCTGGTAATATAATTGCTTATATTTTCTCCATTTGTGTGTATCTCTGTTTTCTGCGGTAAATACTTTGAAATTGTATATATATAAACCTTTTAATACCTGTCTTTAACACTAAATTTTTACTTTCCTTATTGGACTATTAAAAATGAATTTTTCCTAATTTAAATAAAAAATGTCATGGGGGCAATTGCTGTTTCCATGCTTTTATCAAGTTATTCACTATTTAGAGTAATACTATGCTTGACTAGAAGCTTTTCAAGATTTTACCTTGCTGTACTTGTATTTGAAATATGTTGGTGAAAGGAGCATGAAATAAACATTAAGCATTTAATAATTTTTTAATATAGTGTAATTATTATTTTTGTGGAAAATTTAATTATAATATTTCTTTCTTTTTCTTTTTTTTTTTTTTAAATAATCTGAAATTTTGTTTTTCAGTGCATAATTGGACCATAGATGAAACTGTAGAATGGTTAATAACACAAGTAGATCTACCACAGTATGAGCACAACTTTCGTAATAATGGTGTCACTGGAGCTTCTCTCCCACTGTAAGTTCTTTTATCTTCCATCATTCATGGAAAGAATAATGCTAAATTTATTCCTAAATCTTTGAAAGTTTACTTTGCACTTCTGATGTTTAATCCAAATATAGTCATGGGGAGGAAGAAAAATGTTTGATATGTAATCTTATGTAGTTTTGAAAATTTTTCTTATTCATTGTCTTCATCCATTCCTTATGATATTTTGAATTATCTGTTATGGTAATGTACTTTTAAAAAGCTCACAAGAGATACATGTGGGAGCAATTTTAAATCTTTAGAATTAATATACATAATTCACTTTTTCACATTGTTTAAATATGTTATATCTATATTTAAGTTGAAAAACATTGAACATGCTAGAGACATCAGATTGAAAGAGATTCCTACAATTGTCTGACAACTTTAAATATCTCAAAACTTAAAACAGGCAAATCGACAACCTTCTATTCGGCATAGATTTTGTACAGGTTGTCGATTTGCCTGTTTTATTTTCCACGTTGATGTGTTTCTCTTGCGTCTTGATACCCGAATACAAGGTTGTTGATTTGCCTGTTTTATTTTCCCTTGTCAGTGTGTTTCTCTTGTGTCTTGATCTCAAAATATTTGGAATATTGCTGCATAATCCATTGTAATGGACACCTTTTCTTGTACTGCAGTACTTGCCTATATAATCAGATCTGACTCTAGCATTTTTGGTGCCTTTCAGCACTCCTAGTGATCACTTTATTTGCCACGCCATAGCAATTAAATATATTAATAATTCAAAGCAAAATATACCATTATTTAGTTGTTGCTTGTGAGAATAACTTAGTGCCATTCTAATCAATTGCCTATATTGTTTACATCTGAAACCAGCGTTTTATATGACGATCATAACTAGTAGAGTCTGCTTTTTCATTTGTAGTTTTTTCACTCTCAGCAGTTTGAACAAATTATAGATTCAAAGCAAGGAGAAGACTCCACGGCCCCCTTCTCACACGCTATGTTATGAAATGTCCGAAGACATTGTGGTCATTAGCAGTTGTTTTCTGAATTTTTAAGGCATATTTAGGAGAAGCATACATTAATAGAGTTTTATTCTAAAGCTATATGAAACTAAGGCTGCTTTCTAGCCTACCTTTTGACTTATTATTCTGCTAAGTTTAAGCAGAGGTTTCAATGTAGTATGATCAACACTGTCCACATCATGAAGATTACTTCAACAATTTACCCAAAAGAGATTTTTACTTTTATTAGCTTCAGATAGCAGCAGCTTTCAGACATATTGTAGGATTAAATGAAAAATAAATGAATATTGGTTTCAAATTATGCAGCAAAATCCATAATTTAAGCAAATTATCATGAGAATAGGAGACTCTTCTCATCATCACTTTTCTGTTGTCTGAATAAATTTATTTGAAACTGTTGTTTTAACATAAAACAATTTTTCAGTTTCAGCCAACTACTCTGTATTAAATTTCATCCCTTATTTCTCCTTGGGAGTACAGCAGTTTACTTGGAAAGCACTTTCAATTCTTAACTCTGAATTATCAAAACTTAAGTTTCTTAGGTTAAAATTGAGGTTAAAACAATTTTTTACAATGCCTTTTTCCTTCTTATGTAGTTTTAGGTTGTCAGAATGAAATAAAAAAGAATAATCATTTGTAGTATTTTACCATGATATTTTCTGTAATGATGTTTTAGAATTGGAATTTTTCTTATTGCTTTCTTGTCTCCCATGATGTTTTGGTGGTGATGATGAGCCCCTTATGCTGTTTTTTTTTCTGCGATATTTCGCCTGTAACTATATAGTTGTTTTTCAGGTTTATAAAAATGCTTTTTTTTTTTGTTTTTGACAGGTTTATTTTTAATTACATAGTTTAAGTGCTGATTATTATTAATTTGTTCATTTTTGATGCTCAAATATTTTGCTTCTGTAGTCTGTAGAAAGTTCAGTTTATGTAATTTTTTTTTAGATAATGAATTTTTTTTATATCACTTCTAGTGCAGTGTAGTTCAAAAACCATGTTGCATGAAATGGTGTATGCAAAATGTACTTATTTAACTAGTAGCATTAAGACAGAAGAATGCATAACATTCTTTTTCAGTGTCACATTTACATTCTGAATGATTAAAAAAAATTTCTTTTTCAATAGTTTAGCTCAAAATGCAAATAATTACATCTCGCACAATCTTGGAATTAAAGATTCTATACATAAGCAAAAAATAGCTCTTAAAGCAATGGATGTTGTTCTCTTTGGAGTCCCAAAGTGTAAGTAAATTTTGAAATTATGTTTATTAACTTTTTTAATATTGCTAATAAGATGTAATTTTTTAAAAAATTTTCTTTAGAAAAATGTGCTCTGCGTATCCATACATAATGCTGTCATCTCATGCTAAAACAATCCTTGATGTAATGACCCTTCCTGATGTAACTTATATTAAAATCCATTCAATCTTTCATTATCCCAAAATAATTTTTTTCTCAATACCACATTAACCAACCAAAATTGCACTAGAATTTTCCATCTAAATGCATGAATAAGGTAAAATGCGAGTATATTGTGAAATGAATCTGCTGCTCCTGAAGGCGGATTTAAAATGTAAGCAAAAAATATTAAATTTAAATATAATTTTTCTAGCACATGTCCACCTACTTAAAAGGGGGGATAATTCTATATCTCCTGTTCTACTCGGCTGATTCATGAAATTCAACCTGCATTTTCTATGTCCTGAAAGCAAGATTTAGGATATATATTAAATGTATATATAGCATTCTTCCTAACATACACATTTTGACACAAACCCAAATTTGTTCTAAAATGACTTGCCCGTGTTTACGTGTTCAAGGTAAAAAATCTGGAGGTTCAAATTTTTCCTGAGGTTTTCACTGAGTGAGCATTAAATATTTCAGTGAATGGTCATATACAAGCAGAAAAGACATACAAAATAACACTGCAAAGGGTGACTTTATCACTGGATGGCTGTATAAATTTAAATGACTTCATAGAATGTTATATCATATGATAAATGGGGATAACAAAGGTGTCTCAATCGAATTTCTTGAAGATTCATGAATTTATCCAAAGAAATATATGGTTATCGGCTAAAAGTGTTTTTGGTGTTGATGAAACTAGTCTTTTTCTCTCATCTCCTGCCCTCAAAATGCTTGGCCTCTAAAAATATTCAGCATCACGGACAAAATCGCTTCACTGTTTTACATGAACAAATTACTGATGAAATGGAGGGTGGACACCTCTACTCAGAATGGCACAAAAAACAAGTTGTTTAAAAAGTGAGTATAGTGAATAAAAAAGGGAGAATGCTAATATTTATATCTGCAGAATACCTCAAGAAATTCATTAAGGCATTAAGCTTTTTTTGAAGCAATAAACCATAAAGAAGAAAGCTTCAAGGCATTAAAAAGCTAAACAAATTTTTATTTATTTATTTTTATTCTATTTATTAATTTGCATAAAATTACTCTTGTTTATGTTATACTATTTGACTCTAGCAATTTAAAAAATGAAAAATGTGAACTAATTTGAAAACACGGCTAATATTTTAACAAACTAAGCACATGATGATAAAATTGTGTAAAACAATGCCATACGGATAAAACCATGGAAAATTATTTGTATGCATATCATTCTAAATTAAAATGTAGGCTATGCATCTTCTCTATACGTATACGTAGGTTGTTTTTTTTTTTCAACCTCCGATTGCACAGTATGATGGCCAGGTATGCGGCAGGTGGTTGGTGTGCGTCCTCTCCACACGCTCTGTCACTGGCATATTCAACACGCCATTGTCTGTTGAATTGCAGTCGCGTAAACATGTCTGTCGCTATTTATTCTCCGCCAATTGAATTGTGAGCCTTTTTCGTTTCTGCAGGTTAAGGAAACAGTGCAGCGGAAATTATTGAAGCATGAGTCGTGTATGGAACACTTTTGATGATGGCGTTGTTCGTGAATGGTGTCGAAGTTTAAAAATGACCGACTGATGTGCATATGAGGACGCAAGTCTGTCCTACAACGACATGTTCAACGAGTGACCAAGCGGTTAAGCAAATCGAAGGTTCACCATATGAATCATCATGAAATTTCCGGAAGTTTCAATATCTTCCCTGTACTCTATCGTTCTGACAGTTGAACAGAAAATTTGCGCTCGCTGGGTCCCACAGATGTTGATGACGACCACAAAACTCGCCGAATGGTTGCGCGTTTATTTCTTGACCATTACAATCTGACGGGAAGAGTTTTTTAATCCAGTGACAGGTTATGAGACTAAGTTATAAGCACACCGAATGAAACGCAGCGCAACGTGAATGCCACAATTCTCCCAAAGACCCAAAATTCAACGACTTTAACACCTAAATTTGCACTTTTTTTGGGACAAAAATCTGTTTGCTTGGGAGTTTGTGCACCAAAACAACAATTAATGCAGATTCATATTTGTGAAACTTTGCGATGCTTCGGAGAGCTATTCAACAATGAGAGGCATGCTGACTTCTGACTTTTCGATCCACAACATGTCCGTCCTCACAGCGCTCATGTAACCCCACGCTCCTTCACATTTCATGGGACATTCGACATCCTCAAGTCCCGACCTAATGCCAGTGACTTCATCTGTTCCCTGACTGAGCATGGCTTGGCGGAAGAGCTCCAAATGACGTGGCTGAAAGAAACCGTCACAACCACTTCCATCATGGCCATTCTGAAGAGGGTATTGTCAAAGCTGTGAAGATATGACAATGCGTCAATTGTCTAGGTGATTATGTAGAAGTAACCTGTATTGTACATTACTTTTGGTAATAAATCTTTTTTTCTTATTCACCTTTTTTTCTTTTATACCCATGAGGTTGAAAAAAATAGCCTCGTATTTTCTAATGTGTAAACTGCTTTCTGTATTTCTCTTTTATGCAATGCGTTTTCAAAGGCATCATATGATACTGATCACAGATATTTTAAAAAAAATGCTATACACTGCAAAATAGCAATTAAAATATTATAATATGAATAAACATGCTTAAAGCATTAAATGAATAGAAATTTTTAAAATAACTATTTGAAGAACTATAACAACTACATAACTCAAATAATTAAGATAAAATTCTTTTAAAAAATCTAAATGTAACAGCTATGATTAAAAGATGTACTATGAGTTAAAAATACTCCTCAAAAAGAAGAAGCGAGACATGTTTCCTGCATGTTCAGAAAAGCAAAAAGGTTAACATAAAATGAAAAGTTCATCAAGTGAATTACTTTTGTCAAAAAGTGAAAAAAGTGCATCAAATTATATTTTGGAATTACTGTGTGTTTCTCACCAAATTTTATAAAATTTGTTTTTTAGGCATAATCAAAATATGGAGAAAACATTGGCATGTCAATTCAGAAAATACCGATTTTGTGTAAAATTTGGCATTTTAGAACAATGCTATATATAAATCATAGATATATCCTAAATCGCTGTCTTGAGACATGAAAGACAAGTTGAATTCCATTAATCATCTGAGTGGAACAGTAGATATAGAATTGCCCACCCTCTCCCTGTCCAGTTTAAATAATTACAGAAGCAAACTAACAGTTATTCAGTATGGTTGATCATGTAGAAGAACTGTATTGTGATATTTCACATCACCGCAAATGGCATATAGTGTTGCAGTGGTGACAATTCATGTGCATCATTTTGATCCACTTAATAGATGCGAAAGAGAATTTTGCTAATGTAACTGTGTAGGCAATCTGTGTTGTATATGTGATTTCTATATCCATTGGGGTAATTTATAAGTTTATAATGGTTGTTGAATTTTTCTTTAACCAGTCACTTACAGAAAATTTCTAAAATATAACTTATGCCATTTTTCATTCTTCTTAAATCAACTAAACTGTAATGTCATTTTATTTAAATCTGCATAATTTTTTCTTTTCTGTCTTTCTTTCAAGTTTGCTGTTTGATATAGGTATATGTAGCTACAGAGCCATTTTTTTGTAGAAATTGAGAATTGTAGAAATGTTGCCTTTCACAGAAGAATTTTTTTTTAAAAAACATTTTTTTTTTCTTCCAATTTCTACAATAAAATGAATATTGTTTGAATTTGTTTTTTATTTACAACAAAATTATTTTATTAATATTTGTAGATCGTAACTACTTTAAAGATGTGATACTTGTTTTGTCATTGGTTATTGCTGTGGGAGGCTGCTGGTTTGCTTACGTACAACATAAACATTCACAGACGCACATGCAAAAAATGATGCAAGACATGGAAGCTTTGCAAAAGGCTGAGGATTCACTCCGTGATTTGCAAAAAGAGTATGTTAACTGTTATTGAATGGAATACTTTATTTTAATAATGGAAAATGTACATCTTTTTATTTGTGTAAATAATTTATTTTAGGGGAAAAAATTCATTCATTAATTTGCATAATATGTTTAAAACCAACTATCAATATCAATTTTTCTGTCCTCAAATCAGTGGCAGTAATGGTGTAGTAAGTAAAAGTACCTTGGTTACACTTATCAAGAACACAGTCACAGTGTAAATAAAAATTGCTTTTTGCAAACTGATTTAAATATGTATTGATAATTTTACTTTCCTGGTCATACTAGATGTAAATAATACAAATATGTAGTTATTTTGAAATTTATGTTTTAAGTGGAGTAGTGTATCAAAGTTTAAACTATATTTTCATTTCTGTTGAGTACTTTTCAAACTTTCTTTCAAGTTTCTATATCCTGCTTCTAGTTGTTTCAACAGAAACACTTATGAAAATTTGAAAATCTTTCTAAGAAAGATTCACTATAAAAAAATATAGTTGTTATCTATGGTGATTTAAAAACAGTTGATCTTTCTAAATTTCACTGTGCTATTCAAAATACTATCATTTTTTTTCACAAAATGTGGCAACAGGAAAATAACTGCACCATAAAACATTCATGCAGCCCATTTTTCAAGCTTATAACCTGTCTTACATTATCAGTCTTCAGCAGATTACCCACTTAGCCACAAACTAAAAAGAGATCAGGTTTGCATTTTCACTGATTTAGTTTCTGACAGCACTCTGGCCTTTAAATGTGTTAAATGAGTAGTGGCCATCTGTGATTATCTATATTTCTGTACATACATGCATAAACACAAACACACATATAGTTAAGAATAAATAAAAATAACATATATATACCAGATGGTTATAATTAAACATCCTCTATAGATGGCATCCTCTAGAGCAAAGAGCTGAATGGAATGCAACGAAATTTTGTATATGGGCTATACACGAGATGCACTCCTGGAATTTCGAAAAATAAATTTTAGTTCCAAAATATCCACCAGAGGGCGCCTTTTTGGGAAAAACATGAAATTTAACACAATAAACGACCAAAACGGAATACAGAAATAATATTAACAATCCAGAACAAAAATTATGAATAATAAAATGCTAAACCTGGAAAAGCTATCCATTGTAGAAGAAAAATGTCGAGATTTGCATGCTTGGGAAGAAAAGGAAGCCGATGTTTCCTTCTGTACTAATAACCGTCTCTTTAGTTGAATGTGCGTTATTGGTGAGGCTGTTTTGTGAAAACAAGGGGAATGCTTCTGCTGCAGTTTGTGAATTTTGTCTTAGAAAGAACCTACGGTATGGACCAATGTCTACTAAAGGTATCCGGGCCATGATTAAGAGATTTGAAGAGACAGTGAAATTACGATTTTAACCTGGAAGAGGCTGTAAATGTGTCACACCGGTACTTGTTGATGCCATCAAGACAGCTGTTGGCACACAGTCGCAGACATCAGAGTTTGGGGGGGGTATCGCCTGCAATTTCTTACGACAGCTATTCTTCACGCACCATCCGAAATATCGAAACCTAATGCAATACTTCTCATACAGAAGCCGCCATACCAGGAACTGCTTGATAGGGACAAGCCACAATGTCTCTCATTTGCAGTCAGTTTTCTCAACAGAATGCTGTTGATCTGTCATGGCCTTGGAATATTCTGTGGAGCGATGAAGCTCATTTCTACCTCAATGACACTCAACACACAGAATTGCCACATTTGGGCTATGGAACATCCGCGGATTCACACTGAAATTTCCCTACAGTCTCTAAATGTGATTGTCTGGGGTGGATTCATGGCAACATTTATCCTTGGGCCATACTTTGAGGAAATCAGTGAACTTGGGCCTGTCACATGTTCCATTATGGACCGTTGGTACCATGACATGCTGCAGACGATTGCTGTGCTGCAACTACAGTAAAGCAGGGTTCTTACTTTGACCATTTTCATGCAGGATGGTGCACTCCCACATATCCATGGGTCCGTGAAGGCACTATTTCTCCAACACTTCACAGAGGAATGTGTTATTAGTTGCTCTTTTCCTAATCTGTGGCCACCACATTCGCTGGATCTAACTCCGTGCAAGACGATAAATTACTTAAGGAATTCCATAGCACTTCATGTGCGAAGCCTCACAACTTATCAGTGATCTGCTAATGAACACACTGTCCATCAACTTTACAGATGAATGAGGGTGGTCACACGAAGCACCTTTCCCTACATCGTCCTGGGCATGATTAACAACTGCTCCTCTTGTGCAATTTTGTCCTAATCTGTTCTGCAAACTGAACTGTTTTTGTATTTCCCTTACCTTCACTTAATGTGGTTCGCTGGTCAGAAACTAGTCAAAAAATTTTAATACTGTTTCTGTATTCCATTTTGGCCATTTATTGTGTTAAAGTTCCTGTTTTTCTTGAAAAGTTGCTCTCTGGTGAACATTTTGGAACTTTTTTTTTTTTTTTTTAAATTTTGTGAGCGCATCTCGTTTATAGCCCATATACAAAATTTCATTGCATTCCATTCACCCGTTTGGCCTGTAGGATGCTGTTTATAGGGTAAGTTTAATCATAAACCACTCGCCATATAGGAGATTAATACATAAGTTTTGTTTATTGTTCTATTTTGTATTATTTTCAGTTTTGTATACCGTATTTGAAGTTTAATTTTACTAGTACTATTTTTGGGATACGACTTTCAGTGAGAAAGAATTAAGGCCTTCATAGGGAAAAAATTATAATCTATCAATTAAGTTCTGACTTATCCTTTTCATTTTATTAATTATATATAATTTAACAAATAATAATTTAAATGATATATTGTGATTTTAATAATTTAATAATTAAATTTAATTTTACAAATGGGTCCTAATGAACTGATCACTTTTGACATGCAAATGTTGATTTCTTTTTATGCATATTTATGGTTGCAATTATGTGTTTTTAATAAAACTGGAAGTAGATTTTGAGCTAAGAAAGTTTTGGATAGATTGTTTGTTTTTGTTTATTCATAAATTGTGCTTTGTGTAGTTATAATTAAGTTGTTCCTGTGTATTAAAATGAAAACAGAACAATTTAATCACAGCAACTGTATATTTGAAGGAAATAAAAATTTTGTGAAAATATTTGTTATAAGTTCAAAATTTCTTTGATTAGTTTTCTATTGAAATGGAACACTGCAATTGATAATTTCATGGTTTTCCCCCTGCTATATTTAGGTGCTTTGAATGTAAAATTGTGAATTTTCTGAAAGGCAAGTGTCATATGCTCATTATTAAATTTTCCCATCAGTGTGGGCTGTAAGGTCAATGTACTTTATTTTGATTATTATTTTTATGAATATTCTAAGTTTATTAATCAAAAGCATTCTTGCAGGTTGAACAAAGCTAGGCAGGAGCAAGAAATTGTCAGCATCGAGAAGCAAGATCTTGAACGCAGATTGCAAGATGAAATAACAACAGCAAAAGTAACAATCATTTATTTTTTTTTTCTACTTTATGTGAGGAATGTTAGATAATTTCTACTCCCATCTGTTGATTACTGTGATGAGCAGATTTAATAAAAAATTTTGAACAATGTTAACTTCAGACATGCAGTTTTATACATCAGTATATTTGCAACATATCAGTATTCGTACAGGAACTGCTTTTCGCAAGGCATTTTATACTTAATAATGGGGAGTAATGCTCATGAAAAGCTTTTAAAATTGGTTCTTGGCAATGTAAATTAACGGAATGGGCTAAGCTATTGCTATAAGTCAAAGATAATCATGTGCAATTAATTTTTAAAAATTTCGGACAATTCTATCTCTTACTGCAGTTGGCTGGTCTACAAACTTTAAATTGCATTTTCCATCTTTTGAGAGCACGACTAAAGATATGTAGTAGATTTCTATATAGCATTGTCCTAAGATACATATTTTGACACGAAATTGAACTTTTTCTGAAAGGATATACCAGTTTGTTCCCATAGTCTGATTCTTCACTCCAAATTAGGCCCCAATACCAAATTTTTTAAAACTTATGCTAGTCATTTTGGAAATATTTGCAATAATAATTTAGCATTAAAAGTAATTTTATTTGGTAAATTTGTAATTAATGTTAGCCCTTATTTATTTATTTTTTAATATTTTTTCATTTATATTCAGATTATCTAAAAAATAAAATTATTGTTGTTTGTTATTAATCATTAAAAATGCCCATGTAAGGAACCATTATCTTAAATAGAATCGAAAAGTTACAAGTTAAAGGTAAATAGTTAGATGCTGTTTACTATATAAGGTTACCTTTGTGGTATCAACTAGGAAAAAAACTATTGTTTAGCATTTTCACCATTTTAGGTTTTAATTTACCCTTGCTGTAACTATCTGTTTGATCACACATCTCATCATAAATAACAATGAATGTGAATCTTTTCCTTTTTCCATTGTCCAACAGATTTTTAAAAGTGCTACATTTTTTTCTAAAGTTACATTACTTTTTTCTAACAGATTATGTAAAAAACAAAATTATTGTTGTTTATTATTAATCATTAAAAATGTCTATGTAAGGAACCATTATCTGAAAAATATGTAAAGTATGTTAATTCAGTGTTTATTTTATGGCTATAGCCATTACCGTGATGTTAGTATTGAAATTGTTGCATCACTTCCCTTCATCCAGTTTCAATGGTAGAGTTAAATTCTGCTTGTTCTTCTAGTTGTTTCTGATAAGAGTTCTTCTGATAAGAACACAGTCCCAAATTATAAATGGAAATACAAATTTAAAATTAAGTCTGATTAAAAATTTGTTTGTTGATGTACTCTTTGATTCAATTATCGTATGTCTTAATTTCATACAATGTACAAAGAAATTTCTCTAGTTGATATCGTAGGTTATAGAAGTAAAATTGAAGCAGTTTTACTTCTGTACCCTATGATATCAAACTGCTTCAGTTTTACTCCTTTATGGAGTATCCAATGGCTTCTACAAAAGAACTGCTGAAAGCTTTGGTGAAGCAAAGAGTGACAGCATTTCCACTAACTTATATTGTTATTTATTACTAAATTTGGAGTATAAATAGCCCATGAAATTATAATTCATTTTTTTCTTTTATATTCACTCTGTTTTTAAACACCTCATAATCAAAACCAAATGCAAAGAAACTTTTAAAAAAGCAGAATTCATAAATAGAAAGAGGTAAAAAAATCTAAATTTTACATATCATTTGTATCTGTCATTGAATTAGTTATCATAACATTCATGTTGCTATTCCTTTCTAAAATAGCCTAGCATTAATGCTAGTTTCAATTACTGAGATAAGATTAAATTCTCTTAGTGAAGGGACTTGTATCCTAATGTATTAATTTTTAAATGTTCTCTACTTTTCTCCAGAAATACAATGTGAATGTGGCTAATGATGGAACAGATTCTGGTGATGTGGTGAAACTCTTAGAGCTTGAGAAACAGCTTAAGGTTGCTCGCAATGATCTAAGAGAAGCTGAAAAGAAGTTAGAAGCTAGGCATTGGGTTGCACCACCTTCTTTGCAGCACTGGTTGCAGTTAACACATGAATTAGAGCTCCGTAGCTACAATGCTAAAAAAGCTGTAGCAGAGCAGCAGTTGCAAGCTGCAAAAGAAGGGGTAAATAGTATTCAATTTTTATTGGACAAATTTTATTGTTAAATAGTTTTTGGGGGGGTGGAGAAAGTGTATTTATATCATAAAAAAATAATTTTTAATTATAAATATTGTGAATATCTTTAATTCAAACATAAAATTCCTCTCATTTTTGCAATGAATTTTGTATTGTATAGTGACTAGGTTGTATTTCTATGTATGAGCTGAAAATTTTTTGCTTATGAAGTTTGGGAGTTGGCTTATGTACAAGCTCAGAATCATTTACAGATAATTCAGTCAGGGAGATAAATAACTGATGTAATCAAAAATATTATTTTGATTTTATTTAATCCTAATAATAATTTAATGTACAGTAATCAAATTTTCCAGTTATATATCTGACTCGGATTTTATAGTAATTCTCAGTAATTGCTTTCTGCTATAGAAAAATAGTGTTGGGTTTCTTCGATCGTGGATTTAGAGTGATTAAGGACAACAGTTAATGAAACATAAAAACGCAATTTATTAGCCAGTATTACTCAGGACAACTCCAAAAACATGTTGTCGAAAAACTATGACAAACACGCTGAAACAATCAGCAACACAGGCTATCAGGCTATAACGGGGAAGATAGCTTCATGGCAGAGCACTAGAGTACAGCTCCTGACTCAGTTCGGTCATTCTCGGAGCTCAATGTACTCTCAAGATACTCCACACTACAACTCACAGTGCACTCAACAGCTTCAACAATGTACACTAGATGATACACTAACAATAGACTTGATGCGCTAACTCGTGATACACTGACAAGATACCTTGACACTAGACTGCTACTCTGCATGCAGGTAGGGTTTCTATAGCTTTTGACCTGCCTTCGAAAACATTCTGGGCCAAACCGGTAAGAATTCGTTCTAGAATGTTCTGCATCCGTCTATATCATATCACCAATTTTGTCGCCAGATAGGCAGTTTCATGCCAAATCTGGCAACCTTGCCTTCCTTTGCCATATTCTGGCAGCCCTAAACCCACCTTGCAGGGAGGCTATCTTAGGGCAGTTGGAGATTTCATAACAATAACATTGACATAAATTTGTCCTATTATGTGATGTTTTTTGAATGATCAAACAACTTTGGCAGGATGAAGATTCATATTCTTTTTCAGCCCATCTGCTAGATCTAACTTATATACATGACTAATTATTCAAATTTTTGGTGATATATAGTAGCTTTTGGCTTTTCTTAGTAAATTTTGTTTTCACTCAGATATACAACTGAATTTATAGAGTGTTATGTATCGCTTAATATTTCTTCCTGTTTTATTATTATTATTACTAATAACACTTCCAGTCCCTTATTTTTGTAATATTAATGGGATTTACATTCTTGAAATAGATCATAATACAAGTTGGGAAGCTACAAAGATAATTCTTTTCAGTTTTGTTTTAAGAAATATGTAAAATTATGTGCTTTTGGTTTGTAGTGTTATGTTTAATATGTTGGATTCAAATGCAAAAAAAAAAAAAAAAAAAAAAAAAAAAAAAACCTCAATGCATCTTGAGAGAAACTTCTAATAATGATTTATCAAATGACTATAGTTATAATATGCCATTGTCATTATTTGGCAGTCAGTGTAAATAGAAATGGTTATCTTGTATTTTTCTGAAAAATGTATGGAAGAAGATTTTATCAACTCATAGTAATAACTAGATATCAAAATTAATTTTTAGATTATGTAAGCACATAAAGAGAAAGATGATTGTTACTTATGACTCTTAAAAAGTAAAACTGTATTTTATATCATCTGACTTGCTCAGAATATTTGTTTTCCTTCCAGTGTGAAAAGTTAAGCAAGAAACGAGCTACTTTTATGGGTGCTTTTAGAATTGCTCATGGAAGTTCTATTGATGATGTGGATGATCGTATTATGAAAGCTAAGTAAGTTTATCATATTTTTCCAAACTATTTTATTTGTAAACAAGAATTATTGATAACATAGGATATGTAATACAATGAATTTCACTTCACTGAAATTTTCATTTTGTCATCACATGTATAATAGCATCATGGAGGAATTTTAGTGCATATTATGAGTTATTGTTTGTCTGCTGCATTTGCAATTCAGTTAGAACCCTGGAATACATTTAACTTTATTTTACTTTCTCTCTCTGAAATTTTCAAACAACACTAGTGTACCAGTTTGATATTATTTCATTCCTTGCACTCATAAATATAAGAATTAAATAACATGTATTTGAAATTTAGCAAAATGTTATCAGAAACCTTTATGGTGAACACTTGTAGTTAATAAGGACATTGAAGATTTTTTGTTATACCTGGCTTCTGATCCTAGAAGACATGCTAGTTGTTATGATGTTAGCATAAATGCAAGCAAGCCTTCTATCAAATGATTCCTTCTTGCAAACATCCCTCCTCTTAGGCAGCTAGCTAATTCTTGTCTGCTTTATTAACCAATTAGAGGACCATTCAGATGAATAAAAAAAGGTTTTTCTTTCATATTTTTGCATTGTTTTAAATGATTTTATGATTTTTATAATTTTGATTTCCATCTTTATGGAAAGTCAGTCAGATTAGCATCATCTTATTAAATGTTTTATAATGCAATAGATTGAATAATTGTTAGTGGTGAAATAGTATCCTTGAAGTTAGCTGATTTATTAAACTTTTTAGTAACATCATAAAATTATATATAGTATAAAGGCAATTAATCAAAAATGCATGAAAGTTTATTAAGTTATCTGTAGTCTGTCAAAAGTCATGACTTGCTTAGGTTCATATGAAATAAATTTCCTTCGTTTCAGTGCAGCCAATGAGCATGAGTGTTTAGACAGCCAAGGTGGCATCATGTTGTTTTGACAATGAACCAATCAGTTCACACTATTGATTCAAATCATACCGTGAAACTCAAAGAAAAACATCTGAAACTGTGCTTAGGTGATATAAGAAAATCATGAATGTGTAAAAGAAGAAATGTTACAAGCCAAGCAAAAGGATTGTTCAGTGCAGAGTACAGGAATTTGGTTTGAATGCTAGAATTTCACAACAAAAGCCACATGTTTCTACCTTTAAAACAAATAATGGAAATGTTAAAATAGATTAAAACTTTATTAAATAGACAGCAGAATAATGGGATGGTGTTATTTGTTGTAATTAGGCCAAAATATAAGTGTTTGGTACTGATCACATGAAGTGCATAAAGAGAAGAATCAGAGGTAGTTTGCATCCTGATTGCATAACACCTACTGTGAAACATCTAGTTAATGTTTTGATCTGAATTTGTATGATATTAAAAAATATAGGCAGAATCTGTGTGATAGATATCATTTTTATGACTGATTAAAAATATGTAAAAGAAACACTTGAGCCTAAGACTTATGAACATTTCTAAGATAATGAAGCACTTATATTTGAACAGGATTTAGCTTCATGCCATATTGCTACTGTGTACAAAAGATAGTTTCAAGATAATCGCATTCCACTGCTTGAATGATCTTGGAATACCCCCATCTGTGCCCCTGACTAAAAAAGCTATTTAGGCAGGAACAACTCATTAATACAAACAATGATTTTATCTTGATTTCACATTATAACATCTCTAGATCAAAAATACTTGGTTTGTTTTGTGGGAAGGTGTAAAGCCATGATTAAGGCTAAAAGTTATTCTATTGACATGGTAAGGATTTTTATATATTTCAATTTTTCTAATAATTATATATACAACAGTGGTCAAAATTGTAGCCACTCTTCTTATTTATAATTGCTTCTCTCATAAGTAACCCCTCATAAAAGGAAATACGTTCTTGATTTAAAATATCTTTCCACTGATATATAAATATTACTCTGAAAAAAATGTCATGCCATGAATCATAAAACCTCAAAAATACACTTTTCTCAAAAGGTTTTCACCGTTTTGGATACTCCCTAGTTTGTCTCTAGTGATTTGGGCTAAGTATTTGAGGATGCAACAGACTTGAAAAACCTTGGCCAGATCTCCTGATATTTTTAGCAAGATCAGGACCAAGGGCTTCTGATAATCAGAATCAGAATTTCATTTTTATAGATAATGAATTTTTATATTTTACATTGTTATTATAATTTTCTATTTCATATAAAATTTCTCTCATTTAGGTCTGCCTTGTATGAAGTAACTACAGATCTTCAAGAGCGAATGCATAGATGGAAGCAAATTGAACTCCTCTGTGGTTTTCCCATTATCATGAATCCTGGGATTGCTTGTTTAGAAAGCATTTTAAAACCAGGTTTAGTTAATGGCACAACAGGCAGCTCACATCCTGGTAAGTAATTTAAAATAAAATACAATAAACAGAAATGATTAATTCAGAAAATATTTAAAATTTTCAAGCGAATGGATGAACCATTGTCATCAGCAATGCTTGAATACCTCAACTATTGTCATTGACAATGTTTACATATTTAAATGTATAAATTTGCTAATTTGTTCTTTCATTGCTCACAGTATGAAACATTTTATGATTAATCTATATAAATAGGTAACATTATTATTTACAGATAACATTATTTTCATATTCTGGGCAATTGTTCTCTACTTATGTGAGGTTGTCTCCAGAAACTAAACATCTCAAATCAAGCAACATAGTATCATGATCTGAAGTTGTATGACATTAAAAAATATATGTGGAATTTATGCAGTTGATGAGACTTTTTATGTTTGTTTAAAAATATGTAAAAGAAATACTTGAGTTCAAACTGAAGTCTCGCACATGAGTATTTCGAAGATAATTCGAAGATAAGCTTGAGCATTAGCTTTTCTTACAATGAAATGAAACTCTTTCATTGCTTTGTTAATAAAAAATGAGCAAGAGAATGAACTTGTGTTCTAGGTCTTTAATGACTTTTTGTATTCCAGTTTTAAATAGGAAGATTGTAGAAATGCAATTTCTGTGATGAAATTTTACATCAAATAAAAATTTTATTCGAGACTTTCAAATGCTTGTAACTTCTTGTGTAGTTTGTTGAATTTAATTATTTCTATACTTTAAAAGAAGACTCAACTAATGAGTATATCTCAAGAATTTAAAACTTTTATTATTACAATTTTTAAACAGTTCACGTGACATTCAGCTAGCACAGTAACACGTGCATCACAACAACGGAATCGCATAGCATGAGCGCCATTAAAGTTATTTTAAATATACATCACAATGCTAAAACAAACTTACAGGAATTTAATTAAACTACACACAATTAGATTAACTTATGCTTCAAATTGTGAAAAATATCAATTGAAAATATTCCCACCATAAACATTTTCCTACTTGAGTAGATGGTGATCACACTGCAGATGTCCTTGCTTTGAGTTGTAAACATTTTCATGTATTGTTCATGAAATATTATAAATATGGCTTAAAACTCGAGTCGTGTAGTTTTGAATTAAAAAAACTTTTAGATGCATTGATTTGCCATAGATTTTGTGCAATGTATCTTAACATATTAAAATAAATAAATAAATAAATCTTACTGAAGTCGGTCAATGGTTGCAGGATTATTTAAATGTTAATAAAAATGTAATCATGGCTTAAATTAAAAGTACAGTACAAGGTCTTTAATCCGGACTCGTCGGGACTTTGGCGGATTATAGATCATCAATTTAAATCTGGTAAGATATGGCATGCAGAAATTATAAAATAAAAAATATTAAACCATAATTTATGAAATAAAGAGCAATTATGATGTAAAGGGTATCAAAATAAAAAAAAATAAAAAACCCTTAATATTTATTTGTTTACTTAATTAAACAGTTCTTTCAATGTAAGTTGTTTACGTTGCTTCATTTTATGTGCTAATACTTTCTCTTTAATTCTATAAACAGACATAATTTCTTGTTCAGTTACAAAGTTCCGCTGTTCAAGTCCTGTAATTGCTGTGCCGAGAATACCGACTAACTTGTCAATCGAAATTTTTTCGTTTTCACTAACCTCTCTGTCTTTTTCTTCATACCTTTATCCATTTTTTGTAGCAATTCCACTTTTTGTTTGATGGACATCAAAACATGCTTTCGCTTTGTAGATACTTTGGCAGCTCCTGAATCGGAAACTCTTTTTGACATAATCGAAAGTTCAAGCTTACTTTTTTATAAAATTGCTCTAACAGTCTGCAAAAAATAATAAGCTGGATCCAATTAGCAGATTAAGGAACAACACAATCGGCAACATTAATAAAATAGATAATTAGATAATTTTAGCCTAGCTTATACCATCCATTATACATTAAACGCACATGCATAAATGTATTATGCGCATGGATAAATGCTATGCATACCTTTATATACGTAAACGCAGAAAGTTTCTAGCTTTGAGATCTGGATTATAGATCATTCCGGGTTATGGACATCCGGATTAAAGACTTTATAACTTTAAAAAAAAAAAAAAAAAATCTTTAGTAAAACAGTTACTATAGTGTCTTTTTTTATTAGATGGCATCATTCATAATGAATTTGTTTCACATGATCAGTTATTTATTGATTGATATTCAATCATTTACTGGCTGCAGCTTTAGCATGTGCAAAGACACTGAATTTTAATATCCTCTGTATGTGTGTGGGCTGTTAGGCTGAGATTTTTCACACGGTTAAATCGAAACCACATGTTGGACGTTTCAGGAATTTTCCTTGCAGCTAAATCTTATATCACAACGTCAGATGTGCACATTCCATTGTTCCATTATTCTGTGAGCTTAAAAGGGGCGTGTGCATTGGGCTATAGGATTCTTTACTTCTTAACTGTTCATCTCATGGAAAGGAGTTCCTGTGAGCTGTGATGATTAATGATGTTTCTTTGATTGTAAATATTTTTTCTTTTATATTTTAGTCTCAATTTTACTTATTTCACACAATTTAATATTGTAGTCCTCATTTTCATAATGGTATGTGATATTGCACATGTTTAAGAGGACAAACATTAACATTTGTTTATGTAACTTTTAATATATTCAGCTACACTGAAACATTTGTAAGATGTAACAACATACAAAAATTTCAAATTCAATCAGTAACTGAATTAAATGGAATCATTTTCTTGGTTCATATTCTGTACTGGTCTGTATTCATAAATCTCTCACATTCTGTGTGTCATGAATTGAGGAATCTAATTTCAATCGAAAGAAATTTTGCAGGTGTATGAAGGACATTATCTTAGATATGATTCTACAAATAAAAGTTATTTTATGTATAACTAATAAATAATAAAATCTTTTGTAGAAACATATGAATAAATGTCAAACTTCTAAAAAGTTTTAGAAAACTGAACTAAGCAAGAGGTGTGTAGTGAGAAAATAAATATGCCATTACTATAAATACGTACTTCATCAAATTTTAAAATGTTATATTTTTTAAAAGTATTACATTTGCAAAAATAATTTATATTGGAAAAGGTTACCAAGTTTTTCTCAAACTTATGGATATTCCATGTGCACCTGATTGATTACGGAATGGAAGTTCAGTTTGATTTACATTTTTTGTGCATCCCTAATCAATGGTCATCACAGCAGCACTGATGAATTCCCTGAATTCTATTCATTTTTTTAGCTATGAAGATATGTACAAAAACACAGTCTTTGACATATATCTTTGGGAAGCACTCATGCGATATTAGATTTGGTTTGGGCTGCACTGGATTACAGGCTATGCTACAAAAAGTGTGTACCAAACTGGACTATCACTTTATGCATGTGATCAACATGCCACACTTGGAACATTTGTAGCATATATAAGAGAAATTCTTTGTTATTATTTGTATGTATATGTATTGCATGTCTAATGCTTTTAAAGATATTGTATTTTCAAATCCACTGAATATTTTATAGCAAGTATGAGAGAATGTAAATTTCCTCTCTTTTTAATTCCTTTACCTTACATTCATTTTACTCTTATAGAAATTTATTTTTATGCTTATTATACCCCCTTTAAGCAATGAGTCACAATGGTGTCTGGGGTTTTAGTGTACTACTAATTGTCATAACAGAAAGGGACAGAGTTCAGTGTTAATGGTAATGGAAATAGTTGAAAGATTTTTTACAAATCTGCTTTTTTATATGCCTTCCCTCCATATCATAGCAAAAGTCTAACCCACAGTGGTCCCAACCTTGACTGGTTTAGTCATAGGAATGGAATGGATTGTTTTATTTCCATTAAATCTCAGTATAGAGCCAGAATAAATGCATTTTATGCAAGCTCTAGATGAAGAAATCTCATGATCTGGGAACATAAAAGTAATTTGTATTTTAGTGATGAAACAAAATGTTGTTTGTTGATAGCAGCAGCATATGACAGGTTCCATTGAAAACTGGCATGATCTGTCTTTAAAAGTGTGGAGGTTAGTCTTCATCTACATATCCTGAGAATAGAACTTGTAAAATGCAGTACCAATGACTATCATTTTGATGAACTAAAAGGGCTGAAGCACTGGCTAGACTTCATTACTGAATGAAACTTGATTATTGGGAAGTGCAAAAAGCAGATACAAATAAGAATTTGTAAGATTTGTGAAATTAAGTTATTTTGTTAGCCAGCTCTCTTTTCATACTCTTAGTTCTGTATTACTGTGTTCCATTTCATTACACATTTTCTGGGACATAAAACCAACACCAATTATTTACATCGTTAAGCATGTGTGCAAAAATTATTTAAGATTAAAATAATGGTTTATTTTTTGAAAAATAGTGCAAGTGAATATGATATAAAATATAATGGAGAATGGAAAGGAAAGTGGGAACTGTCTCTTAAGTTCATGCCTAGTCAAGTAGAGATGGGAAATGCTAAAATATCTAAATGCAAAAATAAATAAAATAAAATAAAAAAATATAAAAAAGTCTTTTACTGTAAATACTTGCAGCATCTTGCTGTTCAATTAGACACATCAAAAGTGCACTGTTACCCAATTATTGCTTAACAACAGAAAATAACATAGCATGCTAATTGGATTACATTATTTAAATTATAACAAAGCACTCAGCTATCAAAGGGAAGTAATGCCTCTGTGTAGGGCTTTTTAAAGAATGTGATTTATATTGATTTTATATGGAGAAAACCATAAAAACTGTCATGCTGCCAGCCTGTTCACCGAGATTAATTATATGGTTAAATAATTAACCTATAGAAATTATGGATGCAGCTTATAAAAAAAAACTTACATCATGTATCATAATTTTTTACATTGTATCTCCATTGTTTAAACATTTTAATATAAAGTTAAATATCGTGCCCATTATCACACATTTCTTGATCCTGTAACTTTTAAAATACTCCATTGCATGCTATTCCTTAAAAGACAGTACTCAAATCTTATTTTTTTTTATCCAAAATGTGAGGGAAAGACAGTTAAATAACAGTTAACATATCTGTACAAATGCTAAACCAGGTTGTGCTGTACAAATGCTAAACCAGGTTATGGTGAATTAATTGGACTTACATAATATTTTTTTTTTTTTTTTTCCCAAAATGTGAGGGAAAGACAGTTAAATTACAGTTAATATATCATTCTGTACAAATGCTAAACCAGATTATGGTGAATTAATCGGATTTATGTAAAAGTACAGGGAAGTTCTTATTATGATTGCTTGCAATGTCAGTGTTATCCATTAGGTTAAGTCACACTAACCGGCAACAGTTTTTCTTTGTTGAAAATAGTTTGGCTGGAAGGATGTGTATGAGGAGTATCCAGTTCCAAGAACAAATTCTTTGAATAATATGCAGTGGTGGGGTGAGAGATAGTAACATCTAAAAGAAAGCCATATAATTGCCTTCATAATTTAGATTAAGTGGGATTTAATTTAGATTAAGTAGGATTCTGAGTAATAGTCCTGTATGTGCTCATAAAGAAAAATCTAAAGTATTCTGGTTACTTACTTTTTGGTTAGTTGAATGCTGGATAGCTGGATTTTTACATTTCTAGTATTCACTGGTTTTACTACCCAGGAGTTGGTGGGTGCATAACCTACAGAAGTTACTGGAATTCGGCTGGAAATTTTCATCCTATTCACTGTGTAAACCCTCAGAAATGAAAAATACTCAAAGTGAAAGATGCATTATAAAACTACGTGAAACCACACCTAAAATTTTGAAGTATTATTGTATACTCATAGACAGAAGACTTGCTATGTTGTTTTTGACATAGCAACAGTCTTCTGTCTATGAGTATACAGACTGTTGCTAAAATCCCAGACCTAATCAAGACAGGCCTGTATTTCTATTTGTGCTTTGGATAGGAAAAGCATTTTTCTAAAAGAACGTATTTTTTGTTTTTCCAGCCCTTAATACATTAAGCCAAAGCAACAGTGATACAACTCTTCGTGAGGAAAGCCCTCCTCCTTATGCAGGGCTTGTTCCTAGTAAGTCTTCTAGAAATTAATAATGTGGTGAATATTTTTTATATTTGGCTTGCATAATGAATGCTGCTTGCAAAAATAATTAACCTTCTCCTTCTAAGATTCTCTGAAATGTGCTGCTAATTCTGTGTGGTAATAAGTATTTTTTCGTTTGACACTTGATGTTGTGTGGAATGCCTGTAATAAAAAAATATATAAATATTTTTTGCCTTTAAACTTCCCTGCCATACTATGATTTAAAACTTCTGCCATATTTATATTTACTTTCACTGCAAAACTTGTTTTAGAAATGTTTTTAATGTTGTTAACAGCACTGGATGCTTCATACTAGCTTTTTCATACTAGCTTCATTATACCTTTGATATTCATTTATTTAGTCCTGGGCAATGCAGTTTATTTGTGATGTATTTATTACTTCATTGAGTATGGATTAGAATTTAATGTCATTTTTATTATTAAAAATCAATAATAATAAGAAAGCTTCTTTGAGCTGTTCTTTATTGATGTACAACATTTAGTATTAGTTGATGTTGTAATAATTATTAGAGAGTTTATTGCTAAAAATGTTAATGTCAAAATGTATGTTTCTAAATTTTATTTTTTGTAAGCCTTGTAAATTTTTATCTTTTTTTAAGGAAATAAAATTATAATCTGAACTGATTCTGTATAGGATTAATTCAAATAAAAATATTCTCTGTTCATCCCAGGAAATCATGTAAAGGTAGCATTCCTTTCCCTACTAAACTGCTATGTGTATGTGGTGCTTTAACGTGTTTTTCTATTTTTACTTCTAACATATGCCTAATATCATGCTTGCATTTCTTGTGCCTGTTTTACTAGCTTGTATAAGTTCCACTAAAACAACCGATAGCCGTAGCTTTAAAAGCAAAAGATACTTGGTGCATCGAGATAGTGGTATATCCTTGACTTCTAGTGTCCCAAGTCCTGCGAATATTTCTTCTGCCGCATCAAAAAATGGTGAGCTGTTATGTAGCTTGTGGCTTTGTAATCTGTGTAAACCAGTTGATGTGATGTGCTCACTCATATATGTAGTAGTTCAGAAATCTTAACAATATACTTGTAAGTAGTAGGAAAGAAAATTTATGTATTTTGTTACACTTTAATTGGTTCATGTAAGAAATTTATGTCAGACATAAAAATTATTCACGGCAGTATTGTATTACTAGAGTCAATAAGTTCTGAGATTCATTACTGCATATTCATTCATATTGCAGATAATTTTCCATATAGTATGCTACCTCCAGTAAGTGCCATACTAGGGCACTTTAGACAAATTCATGGTTGATTCATAAAAGTTGGTGTAGCAATACAGTGGTTGATGTGTGAAGTGGTGATGTGCAACTGTGAAGGAACCATGTCAAAGTTAGAGCAACTTACAAAGTTTTGTCAAAAATTAGACTATTTCATGATTTAACATTCTACAAAGGATCTGCCATGTATTTGGAAATGTAGCAGTGATGTGTGCCACAGCCTGTGGGTTTTACTATTTGTTTACTGCAGACCGGAAATCATTTGAAGAAATTGCCTGCAGCATTCAGAAAATTCATAGAGTGCAACAGCTTGTTCCTAAAATCCCCTTGCAACTGATGAAATTACAGTAGTGATAAGAACTGGCTCCTTTTCTGTTATAGGTAGGCTATTCAGAAAGTAACTTACATTTTAGAATTTAAAAAAAAAAAAAAATGAAAGAAAAAATTTTGTATTACTTACATTTGAAAGACACATTATTCAGATATTTTTCTACATAATCTCCATGTAATTTAAGACACTTATCGTAATGGTACATAAGCTTGTTATTTTCATCGTCATAAAATGTTGCCACCTGAGACTTCAACCATGCACAAAGCGTGCATGCAATTTTTCATCATCATCGAAGCAGTGTGTTGCAAGCCAGGTCTTCATGTGTGGAAGCAAGTGGAAATCGCTAAGAGCAAGGCCTGGACTGTCTGACTCTGGTCTGGTCTGGATGTTTAAGTAACTCCCATCCAAAACCTTCCAAGAGCAGTCGAATTTGAATTGCTTTGTGAGGGTGTGCATTGCAACGAATGAAAAAACCTTGGAACTCAACTCTCTTTGACATTTGATTTGTATTGCTTTTCTTAATTTCTTTAATGTTTTTGCAATATCTCTCAATATTTACTGTTTCACCAAGTTCGAGGTAATCCACCAGAAGCACACCTTTTCCAGAAAACAGTTGCCATGATCTTTCTTGATGCTAATGTTTATAAACATTTCCTTGGTTTTCTGGAAGAACTTGTGTGGTGTGGTGTATTTAATTATGGCAAAGCACACGAGGGCTATCTGTCTAAACGGAGGGATGCCTTCGTGGAGGACGTTCTAAGGGGAACTGGCTCGTATACACGTTACACATGGGGAAAACCACGAAAACACCCATGCAACCAGCCCATTCATGAGATTCAAACCTTGGACTGAACTACCAGTATTTAGCGACTTTACCGCCAGAGAACTTGTGTGACCCCACTCCATAGACTGCTGTTTTGTCTCACAATTCATGAACTTTACTCAAATCTCGTCTTGTGCTATGACACAATCGAGAAGTGGTTCACCGTGTTCATGGTATGCCTCAAGAAATGTCAAAGCTGCTGCCATGCGTTGCTTTTTTGTGGTCTTCAGACAAGGGTTTCGGTACTCATTTGGCACAAAACTTGTGATATCCTAGATCTTGCGTCACAGCACCAAACAACAAAGTTCATGAAATTTGAGGAAACTCTAGTGAGAGCTCTGATATTGTGAAGCAGCAGTTTTTCACAAATCTTTTTGTCAATTTTCTCTACCAGTTCAACATTAACAGTGTTCAGCCGGCTATTTTGCACTTCCTCCTGAACATCAGTGCATACATTTTTTAACATGATGCACCATTGTCTCACCCCGGCTACACTCATTACATCATTTCTCTACATCACTCAAAGTTCCCAAATTTTAATTGGTATCAGTTTTTTTTTTTTTTTTTTCCCCAAACAAAACTCTAATCACTGATCAAAATTCACAGCTGGCAGAATTTTCTGTTGTTGCACATGTTTTAACATCCATAGCGAACAAAGCAGAGGCAACACGTACTGCCAATGATTATAATTGAATGCATAAGGATTCAGTAGACACTTTGACACCAAGAGGAGGATGCTTGCACCATCATTCGCTGCTCAGCGGTGAAATGTAAGTTACTTTCAGAATAGCCCTCATAACAGTGCTTACCCTCACTCTGATCTTGTTCGATCTAAGATTGCAAATTCAGCTTGTTCAGTCAACAGCTTGCAAGTTTTTCCCTTTACGATTGTGCTCCTCGTGTTTGGTAAGGTCAAACAACAACTGCATGAGAGATATTTCTATTCTGTGGAGCAAGTTCTCACTTCAGTAACAGAAGCTCTAGTGTTATTTCCAATTTATGAATTCCAATAGTTCTAGCAGTGATTGTATTGGCCATGGCAATACCACATTATAGCCTGTGGACATTACTTCAAGAATTGATGTGCATAACTAAAATGTGGTAGCAGGTATATGCCCAAAATATGTCTTACAACTTATTGACTGTAGTAGTATCTATTACATAATAATTCATGATTAGAATATAGCTGTAAATTTATTCAAGGAAAAACTTTAATTGCTTGTTCGCTCTGCTCTAAGAATGCATTTTAATACATTTAACAGGAGCTTTACAATAGTACCTTTTCACCTTGATCAAACTAGTAGTAAAAAAGTGATGCTACTTTAATAATAAGCTTTGTTAATTAGCTTGCTTAAGCAAAAAATAAATTATCTGAGAGCTTTGCAATGATAGTAAATTGCTTAAAATTTTAAATTATTGAAATATTCATTTTACTATCTTTTTAAATTTCAATATATGGGGTCATTTTGAAAAGTAAAGATATACCGTACGCCAGAGGAAAAGAAAAGTTTTGGTGAGCAAGTTGGCAACACAGGTGTTAACATTGAACCGTTAGCTTTCTCCTCACTGTTGTTTGGCATTTCAACGTTGATTCTGGTCGGAGTAGGTCGTGTTTAAAATGGCTGTGCCGATTCAGAATCCCGCCAAATGCGAAGTGCACTCTGTCATACGTTTTCTTTATGCAAAAGGTCAGCGACCAGCGGATATTCACAAAGAAATTGTTTCTGTTTATGGAAACATTATGAATCGACAAAATGTAACAAAATGGTGTCGTCATTTCTCTGAAGGTAGGGCCAATGTTCATGACAAACAAAGAACAGGTCGGCCATCTGTGATCTCCGATGCCCTTCTTCAGAGAACAGAGGAAGCAGTTTTTACGAATAGATGTCTCAAATTGAAAGAATTGCATCAGATCATACCGGAAGTGTCAATGACAACTCTTTATGAAGTTGTGACTGTCAAGTTAGGGTACAGGAAATTGTGTATGGGCTGGGTTCCAATAGGCGACAACCTTCTATGACTGTCAGATACAAAAGCTTGTGCACCGACTTAACAAATGTTTGGATAACAGGGCTGATTATGTCAAAAAATAATAAATAATCCAGTTAATAAGATGTAACTGATGTTTTCTAAATAAATGTTTTTTTTTTTTTTTTTTTAAGGAATGCAAGCCATTGTATCTCTACTTTTCGAAATGCCCTCGTATCTTTTCTCCAACTTTCATGTACCTGCTTCCTTCATTTAAAAGAATCATATTTAAAGTGAGGCAAAGCACAGAGAGTTTATAATTGATTATTAACCATATGTTTTACTTATTCCATTCTTTAAGCAAAAGTAAGTTGTCTAGAAATGGTATAAGGAACTGTGTGTAGTTTCTGATTTTTATTTAGTAAGTTCTCTTTATGTGGCATATTATGGGAAAGAAATCATTTGTTTAAACAAACAGTAATTTTCTTCATTTCACATTCCATCACATTTTACCTAATTCTCTTTTTATCATTTTTTTATGTTTAAAAGTATGTAATTAAAACTTCTTTATCAGTTACATCATGGGTTTCCTACATTTTTTTTACATATATACTACTTACCATTTTGATTTTATAGGTGTTTTTTTTTCACATTTGTGAAATATTTGTAGTTAATATAATTATTGTTATTTAAAATTTAAATGTTACAAATTAAAAAAATAAATAAATAAAAATTTGAAAGGTTTCAGATTTTAAATTATGTCTAAAGTGATGTATTTTAACGTTTTGTGTGTTACCTTTATTTATTAAATATCATGTTCTTTGCACTTAAACTATAAAATTCAGTTCAACAGCAGTGTCACAAAATAATTTTAAAATGAGCATATCTTTAGAATTTCCGATACACAGTTCCGCATGCTGGAGATAAAAAGCTCCACCGTAGAATGTTGCCATTGCTCGGTTTTAAATCTTTGAGTCTGTTAATAAAAAATTCATGAAAGTTTTGTGCAAAATATGAAATTCATAATAAAATAAATTCCAAATTTCAAATTTGGGCTTTCAGATGCCCATATTTTTCTTGTTTTGTGTTCCTTGGTTCTTAGTTTTATGGGAAAATTTTTTTATTACTGTAAGCTGCACTAAATATCAGAGTAACAACAGGGGAAAATAAGGGTTGACCAGTTCTGTTTTCTTTGTTACCAAGAGAAATTTTATTTGTATTAGAATTAAAAATAATGAAAGTGAAATAGATAACAAAAATTTATGGGCTTTAGTTTTGAATGAAATGACGAAGTAAATGAAGATAACAGTTCAGAAATAGCTTTGATAGATGAGACTTGTATTAATGAAGGCTGACACCCATTATAAAGATTTTCTTTCCTAATCTCTTCCATGCAGTTTCGGTTTTATGTACATTTTTGCATTATATTTCCTGAGTTCAATTTTTCCTTGTTAATGGCAGAATTTATAATAAAATTTATTAAATATATTATAAATAAATTGCTTCTTTGTAAGCAATATTATTAATTATTAATGTTTAAAATCTTACAATTTGAGCAATGGGAGTAAGAAAGTAATTATTTTGTATTTCAAAATCACAATTATTTTATGATTTTCTATAACTGGGCTTAATAAAAAAATTCTGCTGACCTTTAGAGTGAAATTTTCTCCTCCTCTGCAAAAGTTTAAAACATTATTCCCCCCTTTATAAATTTAAGATTTCCTGGGAAAATCAGCAATTCTTTATATGTATTAGTTTATCTGTTGCATGGTACTGTTATTTTCATTTCCGTTATTTATTGGATAGTTAACATATGTGACTAACTATGTGATCAATATGCATGTAACTTATAGGCTTTAATAAAATTAAAAACTGCTATAAAGCTGGAAACTTTCTGCATATATATACTTTAACTGAGCTTCTAACATTTACTTTTATGATAAGTCATATTCAGTGTAGCATTTTGCAAACTCTATTATAGGAAAAATATTTGAAATATTTTTTAAATAAATTAAAAAGTCATTAAAAATACTAAAAATTATGCTCATATTGAATTTCAGATATTATTACTGTTACATTATCCTCACAGTTATAAGCACATGAATAGTAGTTACATGTGAATTAGAGTATTCAGACTTTGAGTTTTTCAGAGTGTGTTGGAATTTTTTTAGAGTTGAGAACCTTGGTTTAAGGGTAAAATTTAGATTCTTTTAAATATAAGCATTCAATAAAATTAATTAAAAAAGAGAGTGGTTATTTACAATTGAAGAAATCTAGAATACTTAGGGGTTTACTTAATTCAAAATTTTAATTTATTGTCTTTTGTGTTAACAAAATATATATATATGTATATCGTATACTTTGCATTCAACAAGTTATCTCTTCCAAACTTTGTAATTTGGCTTCAAACTTTCACTCAGAACTATTAAAACCTAAAATGTTTATACATGTGTAAATCTAAAAATTTAAAGTCAATTATATGATATGCCAAATAATGAGATATTTTTTTTTTTTTTTTTTTTTTTTTTTTTTTGTTTTTAATGCAATGTGCATGTTGTTTGATTTGTGGGTATTGTGTAACTATGCATAGTCAGTATCAGTATTTTCAGTTTATATAAATAAATGTCTATATAAATTTCAGCGCTGATTTATTATGAGCAAAGTTTTGTTTTTAATTTCCAGTCCAAAAATTTAATTATGAGCTATATTAATTTTATTGCAATAAATTAAACAAAAAATTATCTTTTGAAGATCTTGCTGAAATATTTGCCACAATCTCGGTAGCTTGTGAACTTTGGCGTTTTTACTTGTGAATATGCTCTTATATTTGCAGTCTTTTTAGAATTTCTTTTATCTTTTTGTTGTTATTTACTTCATCCACTTTCTGTAAAGACTGCAAAGGCCAGTATGTACTAGCTTTGATTTTCATTCTCTTTGCTCTTTTTTTAGTTAATAAATATTCATAATGCTTGCTACCTTATTTAGTTAAGCTTCTTTTTTATATTAAGATTCATATGATATATGAATACATTATCATAAATTAGTGTTAATTTAATGAATTATCAATATTATTAGAATATGTGATTTATCATCGAAACAATTTAATCTAGTATTGAAATTATTTTTTATACTTTGTTGAAATTATACTCCAGTTATTGTGTGCTAATTTCGTATTTATTAATTAATGCGATAAAAATAATATACTAAAAATGGGGCTTTTTAAATAGTTTTTAGGAGCCTTACCTTCATACAGTATGCATTCCATTTTAGTTTTTACATTCAGTTTTGCTTAAAGTTAGGTATCTGCATCAGTATATATTTTGAAACTTTCAACTTTTCTATGCCAGCATATTTTTATGTTTTCATCTTCAAGTGAAATGCATTTTTTGATAGCATCTTTGATAGCATTTTCCAAAGAAACTCTATTTTTAAATCAAGCCATTTAATTCTTAATTTTAACATCTTTGTGCAGTTTTTAAACGAAAGTAAACTTCTAATTAACTAAACATTATTCTAATTGAATTTTAATATTAAAAAATAGGAAATTCTGTAAAAAAAAAATTTTTTTTTAGTTCTTAATAGAATAAATTAATTTAGGGAATTAAAATCCCCCAAACCCCATCTGAGCTATTCTTAATATATTTATTTATATGCTTATATATATATTAAAGTTATTATGTTAACTGCAAACACAGGAAATTTTTTCATGTTGTCCTAATCTTAAAAAGGGCAGGAATTAAATCTTTTGCCAAGAGAATGATGCATAAGCCTTCATCTTATTATACGTCTAATAGTTGAAGCTGCTTTAATTACATAATAATATCTTAGTTTATATTAGATTAGCTAAATTATTTTACTTGTTGAATTTCTATAAAATTCTGGTTGAGAATGTAAAGCAGTTTATTTATTACTATGGAAAAATAAACAGTAAGTTTAAAATAATTAAATTTTATCTTAATTTTTTAAATCATCTGTTAAATACAATGTGTCACAGTACTGTAGGAGCAAAGTAAAAATTAATGGTAATGGAAATAGAAATAGTCAAAATTTTCTGTGTACCAACTCTTCATAACACTGCAAATGTCTGTCCCAATTCATCTTGGCCACACTTACTGCATCATACTTGGTTGAGGTGAATGGTAACAGTGGCTATGCATTCTTTCAAAGGTTTTTTTTTTTTCCAAAGCTAATCAAACTCCTGAGCCTTAATGTTGTCTCAGATGAAGAATACACCCTCAGTTAAACATGATCATAGTGTTCAGACAAGTATGGTAATTTATCATTAGTTACATGCCCAATCCATATTAGGGGATTTCTCATTGAGATAGTGCTATATTTTGAAAGTGAGAATAAGTACTCTGCACAGATGAGAGAGAATGTGTAAATAAAGAACTCACGGTAATTTTCATTGCTTTCAATGAATATGAGCTATACTTTGTTTTCTACATCAGCATTTGTTTGAATTTAATATAGTCCTTTTAAAGTGTTAATTCTTTTTGCTATATAGGCAGTAAGTTTAAAAATAAAAATTTCTACAAGTATAAAAAAGAGTAGGAGAATTTGAAACTCTTCTTATAAAAATATTTAAAAGGAACTCTGTATGCTACATATTATGCTGTAGTTTATGAAGATTAGGATTGAATATGAATACACAAGTATTCACGTAACTTGGGGGGGGGGGTGATAAAAGGAAAAAATGAAAATTCATTTTAAAATCAGGAAAGATACTTTTATCGAACACCAATTGATAAATTACTTTTTGATAAAAAATTCTATCAGTAGAAATTTTCCAGAGATGTGTAGGATCCAGAACTGACAAAATATAATAGATATTCTTTAAAAAAATTGGAATGCAACATACATTTAAAACTTCACTTTTTGCATTTCCTTCTAGATTTCTTTCCTGCTGATCTTGGAGCAGTGAGCGATGAGCACATGATGAATTGTTTCATCAGAAAATTTTTTGTATTGAATAAAGGTATTATGGCCATTAATGTCCCAAAATGTTTACTGACTTCTACTAGTAAAAATATTTTTCTTGGTGTATTCTGTAGGGCCAGTAAAAATTTGATTATTTCTCTTTCCACTGTCATTGACTACATTACCCTTTTTTCCCCCAATTATGATGTAGTTGTGCACAAAATTACAGAAATTATTGTGATTTACATAATGAAAATTCATTTAAATCAATGACATAATATTTATATATACATATGCATGAAAATGTAGGTTTTTAGAAAATCAATTCTTATTCTCTTGTTACATTTCATACTTCCAAAGGAATTGAATGTAATTTTTGTTTTGCTAGGTATAAAACATGTTCACTTTTCACAGGTACATATAAATTTTGGTTTAGTTTCTCCGATTCAACAGAAACAATTGTATATCCTTTTAAAGTGAAGAAAATAGTTTTAAAAGTAATCTTATATTTTGGTGAATGAGCAAAAATGATATCTAGTATCTCTGTAATAATAGTTAAAATTAATTTTATAAAAAATATAATCATATCTCACTAATTTTTATATTTATGAGGAACAGAAATAAGTAAGCAATAAATATGTAAATAATGTTTTAGTTTTGATACTTCTTGTGGTATTTTAAACCCATTATCATGGTATTTTAAAATTATTAATTGCATAATTTATTAAATTAAACTGTTGAGAATGAAAACTTAAGAATGCAATTGCTTTCTAGGTGCTGTCTCCAACATTCCTCCTCCAAGTTACTCCAAATCCAGTCCTTCCTTTTTAAGGAAAAATATTGAAATCCCTTCTTATGCCACTTCTAGGGTTGTTTATCCAAGGGAATGTTATCGGCCTTCTGATAATGTATCTTCATTTGAAACTGATAATGAAGATTTTCAGATTGCAGAGATTGATGATGATTCTACTGAAAGGAGTGTAACTCCCCCATCTTTAGCTTCACTACCAGAAACTGGTCGTGCTGTATTCACATTGGCTGATGGGTAATTGAATTTAAAATACTTATTATTTTAATGTGTTATAATTTAGAGGTAATTAATATATTTTAATATGTTATAATTTAGAGGTAATTAATATTGCTCTGAGGAAATTTAATATTTCTTCAAAAAGAAACATCTATAAGTTACAAAACATTTACTTTTTTTAAAAATCTACATTGGTTGCCCCCCCCCCCAAAAAAAAAAAAGTATTTGCAGGAGGTTGTATTTTTGTTGCTTACTGTGTGATTTTGCTACTGATAAATTCAGCAATTTTCAAACAATCGAGAATTTTTTTCTTTTTTGTATTGTTTTAATTATGAATTGAATACATCGTTAGAATTTTATATTTTGAAAGAGAAGCTAATGGAAATTGCAGGGACAAACTGACTACTTTCAGAGATTGGTAGATATTAGGGTGCAGAATGGAAAGCCCCCTGGTGGTTATATACCAGGGGTTCTCAAACTTTTTTGCTCCGTGTCCACCTTTCACCACTGCTATATGATCATGCCTCTTCCCTCCATTCCAAAACTTGAAAAATACATACACATGTATTTAAATTTCAATTATTTCTTAATGTGTTTTATAAATTAAACAAGAAAATCTGCGAAAAATATTGATAAATTCCAAAACTTGAACAAAAGTAGAATTTTATATTTATGAACTAAAACTAAATAATTGACAGCTAAATGCTAACCTCATCCCCCTGAAATTGCAAAATTTCTCCCTTTGTTGAGAACCCTGTTATATACTTTTTGTAATATAACAATAATCAGTATATGCCGACCTCATCCCCTGAAATTGCAAAATTTCTCCCTTAGTTTAGAACCCTTTTATATACTTTTTGTAATATATGAATAATCAGTATTTATTTATGTATTTTATGTTTTATAAAGAAATTCAAAAATAAATGCCAAAGTGTTTAAAACTCAAATTTTTTATTATTTTTATTCAAAAATGTTTATTTAATTTTGTGCATTGGTAAAACACTATATATAATTTTTATTTAAGAAGAGAAATAAAACATTTTTATACTTTATAGGTTTTTAGTTTTCATATTTTTAGTATCCTAAATTTTTTAATGGTAAACTTTTTGTATGTTTAAGACTGAAATCTGAACTTATCATATTGCAAGTTTTTCCCTACTTTTTATAAATAAAATTTAATAAAAAATTAAAACACTTAAATATTTTTTTTTAAATTTGCTAGGAAGTTAAAATGTTGAAAGTTCTACCCATTTTTTCCGGAAGGAGGGAGCAGAGAACACAAAAAGTGAAACTACTATTTCATTTAATTGCCATCAATATGTAATGCCTTTAATGTCTGTCTGGTTGTATGAATAAAATGATCCTGATTTAAAGTCAAAAATCTTGTTAGGCTGTTTTCACGTTCTCTGCGTCACTGAGAGCCGGGGAGAAAAAAAAAGTTTTACTTATGATTAGAGGAGATGGTATTCTATAGGCTAAGTTTGGGGGTTGATGTTGTTATGGGCTAATACTTCCCAACAAAAGTTCTTGTAAATTTTGCTGTATGATTAAAGCAGCACTAGGTCTGGTGTTATCATGAGAAAAGATAATGCTTTGACAATTGATGAGTGCTAGTTGCTTAATGTCAGTTCTTTTCTTTGCCTGTCTAACTGTAGAAATCAACATTTATTGTTTAATTACATTCTTATAGATTGTTCTCTTGATATCTCACTGTGCACTTAACAATATGTTTTAAGGATGCAACCCTTAAACACACACAGTCCTTCAATACATTATGGTGCAGTATTCATTTTTCATCTTCTCTTAAAATTCATTCCAGAAATGGCGGACTTCTGCAAGAAAACAAAGTAGTATAGATACTGAATTCCTTCTCTTGTTTCTTCACAGAAAATTGGTTGGAATCCACTGAGCAAGGTTCGTGTGATGAACCCAGATATTTGCGTCTGTCATGTGACTGCTGTTCTTTGTACTGGCCACATTTCCCTAATTTGTTTATGGTAATGATTCTTTCTTTAGGATTCCGGGACTTCATTAGAAACCACTGATGGACATTCAGAGCATGATTGATTTTTACATCACCTGTCTTCATCCTAGAATTTCTGAAACCAGCAATGACATGTTGTTAACGTGAACCTCATGCTCTACGTGCACTGGACAGATACTAACAGCAAGCTGCAGCTGCAATATTGCCTTTGCATAACATAATAAACAGCGCCTGAGGTGTAGTTCTTATAACTTTTCATTTTAAGTCATTAAATATGTAAGTTAATACAAAAAATTTTAGTTGTTTGTTAATGATTTTGTTGGTAAAAGGTTTCATTCAATCGGTGTTATTTCCATGTACATCATTTAGGTAGGAATGTTGGTCAATAGAAAGAACTTTTGCACACACCCAATATAAAAATACATGAGTACATAATTCCTTTATTATATTGCAGATATTCAATTTATTTCACTATCATTATAAAATGAATATAATTTTTTGCCATTACCATCAGTTAGTAATAATAGTAGTGGTAAAGAAGTCTTCCTTTGTAATCATGTTTCAGTGATCATAGTGCTAAAGTTATTCTTTGCCAGTTATCACTATTGATAATATAATAATAGGGGCTTCTTCATTCTGGAATAAAAAAATCACTTATTTTTTCCTTCTTTGCCAGGTAATCTTTGCTATTAAAACAATATGTGCTTCTGAAAAGAAGGCATAAACATTTATCTTTATAATTTTCAATAACGTACCACTTAAGATTGAAAATTAAAATTTAAAGCAAATCTAAGCAGGTATTATGTTTGTTCTATAATTATAGTGATTTTTGTTTCCTAGGACTATTGCTGAAGGATCACTGTCAAAAGGCAAGGATAATGTGTCTATGAGTTCTGTGCAGTTATCAGCTGAGCAATCAAATGGCAAGATGGGAGACATTGTGCGAAAAATTAGTGCTGGTCTTTTAGAAAAGAAAAAGAAACCTGGTAGTTCAATAGTTGAGGCACTCAAAAAGAGTTCCAGTTCCTCAAACATTATAGATAACACTGAAGGGGCTGTCTCTTCAGAATCATCATCCAGTGTTATCACTGAGGACAAACACAAGAAAAAGAAATTCTTTCCACATCTTCGAAATAGAAAAGCAAAATCCTGATTTTGTTTTCAGTCTTTATAAAAGAAATCCTTTATGTGACTTTCCCATAAATGTGAAAAAAAGAAGAAACTTTTATTGCAATTACTGAAAAGGAACCAACTCACTGTTGCCAAAACTTAGATAAAACTTTATTCTCTATAGTACTTTAATAGTGTATAAAATATCTGTATCTCACATTAGGTATTTAATAAAACTTTGTAATTTGTAATGTGAAGAAAAATGTTTTTGGATCCTAATATAAATAAGAACAACTTTTCAAATAATTGTTGTATTTCTATGTGTGAGTTGGTTCAGTTTTGTTTCAAGCTTATTTAATTTTTTTTTTTTTTTTTTTTTTTTTTTAAATTTTATTTGTGCGAAAGAAAGATTGCTTTCTTAAATGGTGAAAGGGAGCGTGAGTTTACTGTATGAATGAACTTATTTATAAATGATGGTTAGTTTAGATTATAGATAATAATTAAGGAAACAAAGCATTAAATTTGCTAGTTTTTTTAATCATTATCAATGCTGTGTATTTATTTCTGTGTTGAAACCATATAATTCTGTTATACTGATTTGTAAGATTGCTTTTTCTAATTTAAACATCCTGTGTATTATACATAAATTCATGAATGAAGACAAAAAGGACTGGAAACTTAAGACATTGATATACTGATAAGAGATTAACATTCCATCTGATGGAGAAGTGATTATAATCCATTATATGCAATAAATAGATATTTGAATCATTGTTTAAATATATTTTTACATGCTATATCTGATTTAGTGTCAAGTGAATGCTTTTCATGCCAAATGTTTTCTAAATGTAAATATGGGAGAAGTTATGTGTGATATGGTCACATATTTCAACAAAGCTCAATAATTAGAAAATATTACTAACACTTCTCATGTATAATTTAAAGAATTTAAACTTCTTAATACTTATATTATGTCATGCATAATTTATATCTTTTTTTTAATTATGTTTATTAATTATAATTGACTTTTAATAATGTTTAAAATTTTCAAGTAAAAGCATAACAAAATAACACTCAATTTTAAACCTATAAAAAATTTTGAAAGCAAAAATACGTCATTTTTTCTTTGCATTAAAATTGTCTCATTATTTTCATATCTTGAATTATTGCTAACAGTATTTTAATGTTTAAATTACTTTAAAAAATAGTGCAGTTGAGAAGACATAATTTAAAAGTAAAAAAAAAAAAAAAAAAAAGAATACTTCTCACTCTCATAGGAGAAAATAGTAATGGAAATTTCTTTTTTCATTTTTTAGAAATAATAGCAAAGAAATTTTTCCAGGATTTCAAATGTATTTCTTTTTCTGATAATATAGTTAATAGTTCTAAAAGAAAAATTAAAATTTATCGACATTTTAAGTAGTTATTCTAAGGATTGTAAAATTAATAGAAAGCTGAAAATTGATCAATATTCTCAATTTTGAAAAGCATTTAGTTTTTTAAAAGTCTGATTTTTAGAACAAGTTTTTGTAATAAAAATCTTCATACATTATCTGTCTTTTTTATTTATTTATTTTTAACTTTAAGTAAAGTACAATCTAGGCAAACAAAGCAGTAATTAAAATTTGCTTGGTTTCTCATTTTGGAGGTTGATTAGAATAAGTGATTAACCTCCAAATGACACTTATGCTAAATACCTCACTTCTGAACTTAGTTTGAATTGTAATATGGAAGCTACTATAAATAATCTGAAAATCTTGCACTAAATTTGTTTGTATGCATTCTCTTTAAAGAAAAGTTCAGTCTTTTTAGAAATTATATATTTTATTATATATGTTTAAAAAAATTCAATAAGTCGTCAAGTAAATTTGTCAAATTTAACAGCTGATATTATTAGTTATTGATAATTTTGATTAAATAGTCACTGTAATAACTAACATGATCTAGTTTAATATATTTTTAATAATGTGTTTATTATTGAGAGGAGTATTGCTGTATATTTTTAACTTTCAATTGTTCTTACCACCATATTGTAAATGAAAATTATGCAAATTAAATCTAGTTCATATGGGTAATTTGAAAAACTATTTCACACCTTTAATTAATTATCTCCAGTATCATCTCCTAAAGATGCAATAAAAGGAATGATCTACTAGAAGTTTTTTCAAAAACTTTCAGTTTAAAATTGCATAAAAATAAAATCATACAAAATTATTCATGTTACCATTGCAGAATTTGAATTAATTAATATACATTCTATTAATATTTGAAGGGGATTAATTAATTAATATTTGAATAAGCTCTTAATCAAAGTAGTTAAAACTCATTTTGACTACTCAGAAAGGTTGTTTGGAAAAGAAGCTATTCTTAAAACTCAAAATTTCATTGCCACAAATTAAAATACTTAGTCAATGTTATTAATGATTCTGACAAATATTAAATTTTCCAAATTTGTTTTATTATCGCTCAGTTGAGCAAAATTAACTAAGTAATGTATAGGAATAAATAGTGAATTCTTTTTAAGTGTAAAATCAAGAACTCTTTTATATAGGAAGTAAAGCTAAGGAGTCATGCTAAAAAAGGTCAGTACTTTTAATTTTTATGATACATTAAATTGCAGTAACAGAACTACTGTAATATATAGCGAGACCTCTAAGAAGATCACCTGTGTTTCCAGACATTTTGATCTTCTATGAAAGTGGTATTCTTTAGAACATGATTATCAATGATGTTTAATATTGCTATTTAATTATGTTTTCAGCATTATTGGTCTTCATCTTTAAATATTAAATGAAAAACTATGCATATTCCAATATAATAAGATAAATTAGTATACATTTACTTAATGGGATAAAAAAAAGCAAGAATTATAATTTATTCAATAATGAAAAGCTGCCTCATATGAAAAAAGCAAATATTGAGCAAAAATAGGAAATTAATCCTGAAATCAAAAGCAAATTGAATTAATATCTCTTTTGGTCTTCTTATTTTTAAATTTAATGAGTAATGTGTTTTCTATCGGGAAAATAGGAAGTGGATATGAGCAAAATCACGTATCTGATAATGAGAATTTTTTTATCAGATAATTCTGGTTTTGTTACTGGTACTTCATTCATTTTTATAAACTAGAAGAAATATAGATGTTAATATGGTACATACAGACTTATTCTTTATTAAATAAATTGAGGGATTTTATTTTTAATATTGAATTATGTTCCTGCAGTTAATTACTTTTGAGGTGATATCGAAAAAGCTTTTCACTATATATAAATATTTAAAAAAATCTGCTAATAGGACAATTAAAAAAATGTTTTAAATTATGTACCATATTTACTCACATATTTTCTTTCCTGGTATCATTTTACTAGCTTGATAGTTGCCAGTAGTTGAATACTTTTTATTTGTTATTTTGTACTGTACATAACAAATGCTGAAGCATTTGTGAATAAATTGCTAGTAATTATCAAGCTGGCAGAAAGAGGTGAAAGTACGTGAGTGTATAAAGATAAAGCAAAGTCTAATTTAATAAGCAGTTTATAGTTTTTTGGGGGTAGGGGGGACTACATGAACTGTAAATTAAAGTGAGAATAAATATAGATTCAGAATCATGTTCCCTGAATTCCAGACTTCAGCCTCAGTATAAATAAATTGAAATAAAAGTACAGTTGTATGTGTTGAAAAAAAAAATTGCTTTAGAGTATAAACTTGAATTGGGGGGGGGGTTAAAAAGAAGAATATTAGCAGTATATTGTAATTGAATATGTCATTATCATTTTGTGTGCATGAATTACGGTTAAAGAAAAATTTGAATTTAATGCTCATTTAATATATAGTGTAGATATAAAATTTAAAATGACAGTTTTTCTCATGTGGTTTATTCTTACATTATGCTTATGAGAATTTTTATCTTTTGTTGTCTTTTCCTATGGCATTAACTAAAAATGAATAAAATTATCATATCTGATAATTATTTGAAACAAGTGGTGATTGATATTAATTAAAATAGTTTAGTAAATTACTGGAAAGTCATTTATGTTTATATTGGATTTTCTTTTAATCAAGTACATATGATGGTAATCTCTAACATTATATGCTCCCTTTTTTAAGTAAGTTGATAATAATAGAGTGTAATATTTATCAGAATTGATAGACATTGTTGTTGCCTTTAAAATAAATTTTGTTGATATAAATATTTTTTAAAAAATCTTTCAGCAATAAAATTTTGAGATGTATTTCCTAGATGTATTTTTACATTTTATAAGAGCGTTGCCTTAAGCCTACTTCTTAATGAATTGCTTTGTGATTCAGTCTACATTCATATTAAGTACAGAATTACACACATTTTAAATGTAGTTATTTTGACCAAGCTTTTACAGTGCCAATATTATGGTTTTATTAAGTATTAGGAATGGTATTTCAGTATGATCTCAAATGTTGAATGGTGTTATTTTGCTGTGACCAGTACAATTAATTATAATAAATATTTTTTATATATGTGTTTACTTTTCCCGCATTGGTGTTTTATCATTTTGATTTTAATTACCAATTAAATGTGGTTATCCATTCAGTTAAAATTTCATGCTGATGTTTCCCACTTTTCTTTCTTATCTGAAACTCGTATAGAATCAGCATATTTAGACTTCTACTTTATAAATAAAATATAAATTATATTTTAATTTATTAATAAAAATATAAATTATATTTTAGTTTAATAAGTATTTCTTTTTGTTTGTATAGAATGCTTGTCTATGTATAGAAAATTTGTGTGAAGATTCTCAGAAAAAAAAATCTGTCTTTGCAGTTGAATATGTACACAATGTCTTATTTAAATTTGTATTTCTCATTATCATGTTTTAAGTCTCATATATTTCTCTCATCATGTTGATGACTAGTAATGAATATCATAAAACTTACGAAACTGGAAGTCCATATTATATTGACTATCAATGATAATCTTGAAAATTAAGTATATTACCTCTCCCCTGTTCTCTTTTTCTTTATTAAAAATTGGTTGATTATTATCAAGAATCAAATTTTAATAGAAATCTTTCAGCTTTTATAAATGTAAACTATGCAATACAATTATATATTTTTAATACCTATAGTTCAAAATTTACCTTATTTTTTTATTAAAATACCTGCATTATTTTTAGAAATGTATGTATATGTTATGTACATAGCTTAGACATTTTTTCCTCTCAATGTATAAAATCTACATTCTGATACCTTGAAATTTTTCAGTAATGAAAGATTTTGTAAAATAACAAAATATCAATCAAAATGTATAAGCATTGATCCTAGTTTTCTCAGCATTGTAACCATCTGTTTGTTCACAAAGTTACTTATTCCTGATGTTTTAATGTTGAATATATCAAATAAGTTAATGTGGTGTAAATGATAAACTCATATTTATATGTTGCTGTTAATAATGATATCTTTAATAGCGAAATCATAATAACTCTGTTATTAGTAGATGAATGTATCAAAAATATGTTTCAGGTACTCATATTTGAAAATTTAACTAAATTTAAAGCAAATTTAGAATGCTGCAGCTATCTTGTTATATTAGATGATGAAAAACAAGCCATTTGCTCTTTTTTTTTTTTTTTTTTTTTTTTTTTTTTTTTTTAAGACTTACAATCAGAGTACTCTTATATGTGAAAATGTCATTTCGTGTAGGATAGAATTTAAAATAAAAGTGCCATTTGTCATGTAATTTTCATGTTGAGATTCTCATGAATCTAATATACTTGTTGTTTTAATAAAAATATAATCCATTTTCAATCCCAGAAGTCTTTCCACTGTTTGTATAATAGAAGAGGTATTTATGATAAATGTAGGGAGAAAAAAAAAAAAAATTGTTACACCTTTGAACAAGTGTATATAAGGCTGTGTATTTTGATGAAAAAAGTCAAATAAAAAAAGTGCATGACAAATTCTTATTTGTTTATTTAAGATGTTGTCATTTCACCCCTCCCAAAACTAGACAACGTAAAATCTTTTCATTTTACATTTTACAAAAAGTGCATGGGTTATTTGTGCAGCAAAGTGAATCATTTAAAAGTAATTTGTGTACTTAATGCTATTTTGCATCAAATAATTATTCAATTCATACATTTATTGAATTTAATAAAAAAACATATTTAAATTCGAATATGATATGCTTTCATTATGATGTTCCTCTCTAATTCTGCTAGCTATACATTGTTCATATCAAAAGTAAAGTCTAGTATTAATTATAAAATTCTATAATATAGATTATTGTTGTTTTTATTGAGGTTGCCTCCATATGAAGTTATAATTTTTCCTTTTTACTGACATTTTACTTGTCTTTTAACATGCACAATAAAATGCAAATTTGTAGTTTTAAAGATTATGAATGCTATTGTAAATAACAGTGATCCATTGCAAAACTGATATAGAAAAAATATACAAGATAAAAAATGATGTTTTACACAAGGACTGTAATTAAACTTTATATTTTATTTAACAACTTTATTTTTATTAGTTCACGACCACTCTCAGCCATGACTTCTCTCACAAACTCTTAGCACATACATTCTCTCATAAGAAGAACATCGAAGAGCGAAGCTCATATCAAAGAGCTCTTGACACGTGCACAGATGCAAGTATTAAGATGTGCACGCAGATGGAACATACCACCCTCCTTGATATGTTATTGTCATTCAAAATTGTAAACTTCACAATGAAAAATTTTACACAGTATCTTAATATAAAATGCAAGTAAATAATTGTAAATATCAACATAGCAAAAAAATTGTTCACAAACTCTTTTTTTTTTTTTTTTTTTTTTTTGTGTGTTGTTGTTGTTGTTGTTTAATTTGTGATGGGTGAAACACAAACTTTATTAATGAATCTCCTAAAGATACCGCTTTTTGTTTTCATTGAAACTACCCTCACCTTATAGTCTTTACCTAGAAATATCTCTAAAGTTCTGCCAAGAGGCCAGTTACATATGGGAATGTTATAAAATTATCATGATTCCAATTTTAAATATTTTCTTTTTCAAACAACCACTTAGTTCTTCTTTGCATTGCACTCAAATAATTATTCCTACAGTACTTCCATACCGTTTGCACGATTTTAGTCAATTTTTCCTAGCCTTTTTAATTTGTTATCATTAACATTTAAAATATTAGTTTCTGCAATAGCGGTGATAGATCTTGTCTATCAGGAAGTGGCTTGGTATTAAGATGTTAAAGTCTTCTGGTTCAGATGTAAAAGATACAAGGGCTAAAAATTCAAGATTCCCTCAATCTGAGCAATTACTGTAAGAAATTTCTCAAAGGTTAGTTTCAAATTAAATTTAATAAACTTGATGTCTGCATCCCAAAGATGTTTATAATTGATAGCTCTTGGGGGTGTCTCGATAAATAATTGCCTAATTTGTCTTCTAGTTTGCTGACTAGTCTATTCAATTTAGGAGGGGTGATCCAAAAAAAAAGTTTACAAGCCAAATGAAAAAGTATTTATTAACAATAGAAACAAGATACAAATGGGAATCAAGAGACACATCTGGCCTTCACTTTTCCACATAGTCGCTAAACCTGTTTAGGCATTTGTCAGAACGTTCGACCAACTTGTTTATCTCGTCTTGGTAGTAATCAGGGCCCTGCTCATTGAGCCATTTCTCGGCAGCTGTTTTCACTGCATCGTCTGAGGTGAACCGTGTTCCGAATAAGTATCGCTTCAACGCCGGAAAAATGAAATAGTCACTTGGAGCCAAATCGGGGTTGTGTGGGGGGGGTGTTTCCAGACCTCCCACTTGAACCTTTGTAAAAATTCTTGAGTCTGGCGAGCTGTATGGGTCCTGGCATTGTCATGCAGAAGAATGACACCTTTGCTCAGTAATCCAGGCCGTTTGTGTCGGATGGCTTTACGCAATTTCGTTAAGGTGGCACAATAACGATCGGCCTTAATGGTATGGCCACTCTCCAAATACTCGATTAGGATAACACCAGCTGTATCCCAGAAAACGGTCGCCATCACTTTACCGGCAGAGGGTGACCATCACTTTACCGGCAAACTTCTTCCTCGTCTGTGATCCAGCGTTTTTCCGCTCCATCGTGGCTCTCTTGGATGTGGGGGTGAAGTGATGAAGCGATGTTTCATCGCCGGTAAAAAATGCTATCAATGAAGTGTTGGCAATCTGAATGGTATCGCTGAAGAAATGTGAGGCTGCACATCATTCGAGTGGCCTTATGCTCTGCGGACAACGCACGTGAAACCCAGCGGGCACAAACTTTGGAATATCGCAACTCATCGGTTATGATATGCTGAACGTTACCATAACTCAGGTCCAACTCTGAAGCAATATCACACACAGTTACTCGTTGATCCCTTTGGATGATCGTGTTGATATCCGTCCTAGAAGAACTTGGACGGCCGCTCGCTTCCATATTGTGGTTTTCCACATGCTTCCTGCCCGCTTGATAAGAACAACAGCATTTCGTTACCTGTTGTCTACTCATTGCTTTGTCCCCGTATACCTCAACGATTTGTCTGTGAATTTCGGATGCAGCCACATTCTTGGCCCTTGAATCGAATTACGGCTCGTACCTCTATGCGAGACCACTTTTCTAGACGTCGTGCCATTACTGTCGCTCTTAAGTGTCTGCGTACTGACGCTACTTAATCGTAGAACCGCTGTAGGACAACTAGCGCCATCTGTCAACCACCCTGGGTGGAAATATTCGCTACACAATTATTACATTTCAAATGCTTCTGCTTGTAAACTTTTTTTTGGATTAACCTACGTATTTAATTCTGCGTTACTACCAACAAAACTGGTTGCATTATCTGAAAATACGTGCACACACTTGCCTTTCTTGTTGAAAAAAAATGTTTTAAAGTTGCAATTCTTCACATATTTCTGTTTATTTTTTGGAATGGCTGTTCCAACATTCTGTATTTCCCAGCTCCTCTTGAGAGTTTGATCTAAATCACTGTCCTCTTGAACAATTCGGCGAATTCTGTTATCTTTTACTGATGACTCCCACCGGAAACCACAAACCCAAACATAATATTTTGATGAATAATATTTGAATCTTTTAGTTGAAATTGCCCCAGTCGTAACAATTCATAAAATACTTCTATACCCAAGAGCATATTCACTCGTTCTGGTATGTGAAACTTACTATCCGCTAATTTAACAATATTAAAACTCCTGAATACAAGTGTCAGTTTTCCTAAATAGAGTTGCATCTGTAGTTATTTTCCGCACAGTTAAAATGTCCAAATTTCTAATATGTTTTATCCTGACTGCTTACCGATGTATTTACTCTGCATTTCACTGTTAAAGACACATCGTTTAAGCCTGATACAATTATCCGCACAGTTAAAATGTCCAAATTTCTGATATGTTTTATCCTGACTGCTTACCGTCACTGTTAAAGACACATCGTTTAAGCCTGATACAATTACATTGGTTTTCTCTTTCCTTAATTGTAATAAATCCATACACCTCCGCGATAAAATGTTTCATTCAGAACCTCCGACAAATACATGTCCTAAATCATCTCCTGCCTAATTCGATAAATAACAAACTGCCGTGCTCAATAAAATTGTCCGCGAACGGGCTGGCTGCATGGGCATTTTCGTGGTTTTCCCCATGTGTAACGTGTATACGAGCCAGTTTCTCTTAGAAAGTCCTCCATGAAAGCATCCCTCCCCTTAGGCAGATAGCCCTCGAGGCTTTGCCGTAATCACACACACAATAAAATTGTATTTCTTTTTTGTGAGTTATGACTCATGAAAGGTAAGCTTTTTGGTGCGAACACTGCATATGAGATCTTCCAGGTCTGCGTTTTTCATTCGAGGGTAGCCCTTGCATCTCTACTAGTGTCTAAATTTTTTATTTTGAATTGAAACGCAGTTACTGGCGCCGTCAAAAGACAAGTTCTGCTTCGGGAAATGTAAAGGGTTATGATGTCGCCGTTTACAAAAGCAGGAAATTGTCGAATGGCAGTTGGACAGAATGCGAATTTTGTTAGGTTTTCAAGGCGACCATTCACCGGTTTCAAGTAATCTCGGCATTTTACCAAGAAGTGGTGTTCCAGACTTTAAGCCCTTTTTATTGTAATCGCGAAAATTTTCAGGCAGCATATTTCAACGAAAATATCCATTTCCGTTATCGAATGCAGTTTAACGATGTTTTTGCGTGACATCTGTACCTAAGGACAGAATAAAAGACTCTTTTCCTCCAAAAAAAATATAAAATTGATTTAAAATGAATTCTGACGAGATTTTTTCCACCTTCAATAAGTTTCATAGCATTTCGAAAAAGAGCTGCTTGATTGTGTACAAAATCTGCTCAAATTTTTGATGATTCTTTATCAAAAAATTCTAAAATTCTAAGACATTTATAATGTGATAGAAAGTAGGATTTCAAAGGATCGTATATTTTCAAAATTCTTTCGACAGCTGCCAAAAGAGCTAACCAGCGCGTTTTACTGTATCTAAGTATTTTATGATATTCGACTTCTGCAGTTTCAGAAAAATCTTTAAACATTTCAATGCGCACAGTGTATATTCTAAAAGAGGATGACAGGAGAAAATATTCTGCCATATTTCTAATAGAGGATGACAGGGAAAAATATTTTGCCATATTCTAAAAGATTTCTACTTAATCCGACTCGAACTAATGACTGAAAACAATAACTTAGCTCCGTGAGCAAAATTCCTTGTAATGTTCGATTCGACGGTGTGGGAATTTTCCATCAAGTTTGATAACAGTTTTAAATCCCCTCCCATATAAAAAGGCAGATTCCTTGTTTATAATATGTAGCATATGATTTGAATTTCACTAGTTGGGCTGTTGTTGTTGATAATAAACATAATAATAATTTTTTTTTCACTTTCAGCTGAGGGATTCCCTAAGGGGTCTATGGACCCCCAGCTTAGGTTTTTCTATGTC